AGTTAATTGTTGTCGTATTTTACTTGTGAGTGTCATATACCCGGATATGAAAAAATCACCAAATTTTTCCATCAGATTAATAAAACCAAAATGTCTATGTTTTGTATATTATTTTTCCATAATGAATGGTTATTCTGAGACACAGACGTGTGTGAAACAGTCTATTAATTTGGATATTGACACCATAACGTGAATCATGCCGTCGAAAATAAATAGTAGTTTGACAAATGAGTCGTCTATTATCTGTGCATTTGGACAAAAAAATATTATTGATATGTCAATACAGATTGATTTGAATATAATCGTCTCCTTCAAAGAATACGGTTCAAAACCTGCATTAAATAAAGGTTAATACTTAACCTGTTATTTATCTAAGATGTCGTTCAGAAGAGTTTTGTGACTGCCAATGGAATACAAAGTCAATAATTCGTTTTTCTGATTTACCAATAATTNATGTACCACGAACACAGAAACAACAAAAGGAAACAAAACAAATAAAAACTTCCAGAAAGAGCACTTAGTCGGCAGATGTACCACGAACACAGGCCGCGCGAACAATGGCCGGGCTAACAAAAGCCGGGCGAACAAAGACCGGGCGATCGAGTGGACGATGAGCACGTCCGCACGTGACGGGTGCCTCTATCGGAATGGCGTCTAAAGTATTAACGGTGCGAACAAACGATAATGGAAACTCGTTGAGTGAACGCGCCCGGCTGCCGGTCTGGGTGTCGTCGTCGCCACTCGATATCGTGGGTTTCTCGGAACCACGTTTTCCTTTAGTAATTAGTCCTTCAAACTTTAACATATTTCATTACATAGATTTACAGACAAGCTAACGGTTCACTTCACGTTAAACACTCACAGAAGCTCATAGATATCACAAATTGAACGCCGCCGCTCATTTTGACATATGGCTTTTAAACAAAACCATATAAATTATTAATTATTTTGTAATATAAATAAAATAACCATGTAATTACCATTCAATGATTTAGATTATACTGTGCATGAAAGTCGTCTGATATTGTGGTGAGGAATGTTTTTTTTTATCACATTAATTTGTTCATTTGGTTATTGCAGCAACACAATGTCACAGATATGTACTATTAAACCATACGCTTGAACTCGTAGCAAGGAATATCAGTCAACGACATTGCACAAATCAGCAAGACATATGTGTGCTTATTGCGAGTTTTTTTAACGTTCTCGATAGCGTAAAAGTTAACTCGTACCTATGCAGTTGGAACAGCGCCCCTAGCGGCAAACGTAGGAAAGCGTTCAAACTCCTTAAACTACTAACTTTTACGCTATCGAGAACGTTAAAATGCTCACACTAAGCACACTGGTCCTGGAAAACGTCGGGTTAAAGGAAACCATAAACATAAATGGAACAAAATCTAGATAGCAAAGCGTGTGCAAAAGACAAGTGCACTCTGTTGTTTTTTTGTACAGTGTACTAAAAATCTACATTTTTACAGGATCTGATTCATATTTTCATACTGTAACTAACAGAAAATTTATCTTTATTGGTCAATAGTAATCAAACTTTGACCAAAGTGTACCTACCTCCTCCTTCGTCCGCCATTTCCAGGACGTAAACGGGATAGTCATAATAAAGATAAAGATAAAGAAGCCTTTATTAACAACCTTATTTAGGTACATACTATTAATTTAATTTCTCTTTTTTTTTCTTTGCATTTCACATCGGCTAAGATTGTTTTGCTTTCGCATAGGCCTCCCCCAAATCCTGCCATAAGTCCCGATCGTGGTATTTCCTCTTCCACATAGAGCCTTTATGTCCTCTACCCAGCTTTGGAACGGTCGTCCTTTTAATCTTTCCCCTCTGGAGAGTACCACTCAGTTACTAATTTAGCCCATTTTACTGTTTTGCTTCTTATTAAATGACCCATCCATTTCCACTTTAATTTTTTAATCGTGTACCTACCTATGATCCATCCGTTATTTTTGTTTTCATACGGATAATTTTTAATTTTTTTTTTAATGTTACTAATATTTTGACTTATAGATGCAGCGAAGATGAAAATCATTTTGTGAAAAACACATTGCAGTGCTCTGCTTCTATACTAAGCATTTATTTTTAGCTATTTGTTTACTCATTCAGAACAATTGATTCATTGGTTCATCGAAATTGTCTATAAATTTAATTAGAAACCAGAGTTACAATTTATTAACTGCCTATAAAATTTATTTATATAACACAACCACAATTACGGGGAAATATGATTAACGTATCCAAGGCAATAACGTGATATTCTTAATTTAATTTTAGTTTAAAGAAGCAATCCAAACTCCAAATTCCAAATTCGGTGGCCGACCGCAGCTGTAAGCCGCAAGCGACACTTGATTAATCTGCTATATTATTATTATGAACAGTAAAGTGGATCGCGAGTTTTTTTGGATGAATGAAGCATCGCGGTCGTGTTTTGAAGCTGTTGCTTGAATCGCATGACCATTAAACACCAGCGTTTCATAAAGGTAAGTATACTCTCACCTTAGCTGTCTATTGACCACATGTGCTTCTCTGAGAACGTTCTAAGTTTTTTTTGTTTTTTCCTACCTAATCTGATAGCCTTGAGAGGCTATTTCAGCGTAACCTTAACTAGTAGGTGAGCTCACGGGGCTCAAACCGGAGTGAGTGATGACCCTAGCAAGAGCGGTGCTTCTCAGAATCTACCACCGGATCGGAAACGCAATCCACTGAGAAGATCCGGCGAGAAACTCAGTGGGCTGTGTTTATGGGTTAATTCGCTCGTCGAGCCCTACGTCGCAAGCGACAGGTTCGGCAAAGGACGGTGACCGGTGCTTGTGGTACCTAAAAGCACCATTAATGGATCGGGAGGATCCGTAATGACGTGTTTTGGGCGACGTCGACTGTTTACCATTCGGTCTACAGGGTCGGGTATGATATAGTTTCCAGCGGCCACGACAAGATGGTTCTTATGTCGTGCCGCCCTCTCAAAGTGCGTTCTAAGCATCGGTCACCGTTCTCTTCAAATGCGACGAAGAGTTCGCCGTACTTACAACTTAACCCGCAGACCTTATCTATTGAATTTCTGGTGTAAAATATTTTTAAGTAATGTAACTACTTCCAAGCAGTTAATTAGTAGAAAATAATACTTTTCATTTAATTGTATTCTGTTACATATATTATTATAGTTTAATGTTTAGGACCTACCATTATCTTCACTATGTTCTAAATGATTTTCTTTTTCAGTGATAATGGTCGAACGAGTGATTAGTACCCATTATAATAAACATACGTTGTTATAAACATAATGAATAATATACTGAAATTTTAAAACACGGGTAGGCTTCTGCAAATCAAACTTGCGCCGCATTTGCGAAAACAAATAATAAATTATAAAGATATTTCAGTCTATGTTATTCATTTTGTCGTAGAGGGCCCAAAGAGCCATCTAGTATTAAGGTGTTTACTGGAGCGTATACAAATCACCCACGTTAATGTCGCCGCCCACATAAACTGATTCTCAACTATATTTTACAGACCTGGGATATTAAACAGTTTCAAAAATAATAAATGTCTATCTTTAGTGCGTAGATCAGGTACAAAATCAGATTAGAAAAGATAGAACAGCCGTTCTAATATACAGTTGTACTGAGACTTCAACGTCATTTAACATTAATTTATAAAGATAGATGTCTGTGTAATAGGTAAGCAACATAAATGTAAATATCTAAATAATAATATTTAAAATAAAAAGATAATCTGTATATTGACTATCTCACGACAAATATCCAGGTATCCTTTTTTAAGGACTATGCTCTGGTAATATTTAAATAACCACATTCAGCAATTGAGAAATCTCCCACAAACAATTGCTACTACTACTACTGAGCTGGCGCTATGACCCCGAAGTGGGTCTTGGCCTCCGACAATAAACTTTGCCATTCATCCCGGCGCTTTTTCACAAACTTCATCACAAACAATTGAGTCTCAATAAATTCCTACTATTTTACGGAGTTCATATCACCTCAACTCATTTAATTCCATTTCCACTAACTTTATTCTATTACGCTCCATTTCACTTTTAGTAAATCAAACATGGTTTCAGTCCTGTAATACGAAATCCTAGCAATACGTACTTACGTACCTAACATGATTCTTTAGTTTGTCTCAATTGCACAAACCGAATTAATGACTTTGGCACATTCTAGTACACGAATATATCAATCTATGTTATTGAGGACTTTTTGTGAGAACATGAAATGACAAGTTGTGTGAATTATTTTATTTTAGGTTAGTATGCATTTACTTGGGTTTAAACGCGTAATAATGGCGGCTTATTAACCGTTTACTTAGTGTCTCGGTAAGTGCACACTAAACGGAAAAACAAATTCTCTGGACATGGTGTCTCGGTTTCATTTAAACAATCCCTTGAACTCTCAATAAATTCTGGACTTTTTGGCTGGAACACGAGGAGCGAAGTTGTGTGTGTAATAGGTGATTTTTTATTTGTTTTGTGAATTCAGTGTTTCTTCAGGTTTAAGTGTATAATAACGTTGGTCTATTAGCTCTTTAGCATCTGTGAAAGTGCACAAATGTGAGAAAAATAAAGAAAAGTGATAATATGAAGTGAAATGAAACGAATTTGATTAATTTGGAACATTAATCAATAGGCATGAAATGAATTGAAATGAAATGAGATGAAATGATATGGGATGAAATATAATATTAGTAAAATGGAGGTTTTTTATTTCTTTTTAGTGGTCTTTTTGCAAGAGTCCTAGAAGTTATGTGCAGCCTTTATAAAAAACTATAACAGACAAATATTTTCTACATGGATACCAAGTTTCAAGTCAATCGGATGCATGGTTTAGTAGTTATAACGGAACATCCGTAAAAACCACTGTAGATTTAGATATTAGTATAGATTAGGCAGTATGGTATGATACCTTTGCCTTTCCAGTTGGAAAAATAGAACTACCACTGAACTGATATTTGACAGATCATAAATTGAAAAAATCCCGCGTTAAATCCTACTTGATTGATTGAAAAATCTTGACTTATTTACGTTAAATTTTAAAAAGTAGTGCATAAACATATTATTTAAAGGTATAGAACCTCCATGTCAAGTAAGTGAAAGATTAAATTTATCTCCCGTTAATCTCAGTGCACAATTAGGTAGTTAATCTATGTTAATTACGAGGACGTAAAAGCAAGCTAAATTAGAACAATATTGTACACAGACAAAATGGACAGGAATAAAACTAAAGGTCCTCCTCCAAAGAGGTTTAAATCTGGCGACGATGACGATGAAAACGATACTCCATTTAGTTTCGAAGAACAACTGGCTTGTATGGACACTGGTGATATTGACAGCCAAGAAATATTTGAAGGTGAAGGACCTGAAAATCAATCTTCGAATATGAAATGGTCTCGTCCTCCACCGCCTATACTGACTCCAAACCGAGAAACATTAATATTTCAACAACTCGACATTGATCATTATTATGGCACACCAATGAATGGCATGCCTGGCTCCCAATTGGCTCCCGTACCTATAATGAGGATGTACGGGATAACTTCAGAGGGAAACTCTGTTTGCTGTCATGTACATGGTTTTACACCATATTTTTATGTCACTGTACCAGTAAATTTTACAGAATCTTCTTGTAACGAAATGAAAACAAATCTTAACAAAGCAATATTAGAAGATTTAAGAGGGAATAAAGATAATATTAAAGAATGTGTCCTTGAACTGCGTTTAGTACAGGCCAAATCAATTATGTATTACAAAGGTGATTCCAATATTACATTTGCAAGAGTTTCAGTAGCACTGCCAAAATTAATTGCTGCTGCCAAAAGACTGATCGAAAGGCAACCTCTATCTTTTGGATTGATGGATCCTCAATTTTATGAAACAAACATCGATTTTGATATACGTTTCATGGTTGATACTTCAATTGTTNTGCGTTTAGTACAGGCCAAATCAATTATGTATTACAAAGGTGATTCCAATATTACATTTGCAAGAGTTTCAGTAGCACTGCCAAAATTAATTGCTGCTGCCAAAAGACTGATCGAAAGGCAACCTCTATCTTTTGGATTGATGGATCCTCAATTTTATGAAACAAACATCGATTTTGATATACGTTTCATGGTTGATACTTCAATTGTTGGATGCAGTTGGATTGAACTACCTGTTGGGAAGTGGTTTTTAAGAACAATAGATTCAAAAGTGAAGCCTGAATCTAGATGTCAGATTGAAGTGGATGTGGCATGGAATGCTTTCATATTTCATCCACCAGAAGGAGAGTGGTCAAAAGTGGCACCATTCAGAATATTAAGTTTTGATATTGAATGTGCTGGTAGAAAAGGTATTTTCCCAGAAGCTAAACATGACCCTGTAATTCAAATTGCATCCATGGTTATAAGACAAGGTGAAACAGAACCATATTTAAGAAACGTATTTACATTGAATACATGTGCTCCTATTGTAGGTTCACAAGTACTTAGTTTTCAATCAGAGTCCGAAATGTTATCTAAGTGGTCTGATTTTTTTCGTGAATTAGACCCTGATATCATTACTGGATATAATATTAGCAATTTCGACTGGCCATATCTTATAAATCGTGCTAAACATTTAAATGTGCAAAAATTTGATTTTCTGGGACGAATAAAAAATGTAAGATCTGTTATAAAAGATACAGTCTTGCAATCGAAACAGATGGGTCGAAGAGAAAATAAAACCATTAATTTTGAAGGACGAGTTCCTTTTGATTTATTGTTGGTATTAGTTCGTGATTACAAATTAAGGTCATATACTCTGAATGCTGTCAGTTACCATTTCCTTCAAGAGCAGAAAGAAGATGTGCATCACAGTATAATCACAGATTTACAAAATGAAAGTGAACAAACCAGAAGGAGATTGGCAATGTACTGTCTTAAAGATGCTTACCTCCCACTAAAACTTTTAAACAAATTAATGTGTATCATTAATCACATGGAAATGGCTAGAGTTACTGGTGTTCCTTTACTTTGTTTACTAACAAGAGGGCAACAAATAAAAGTTGTCAGTCAGCTACTACGCAAAGCAAAAGAAGCTGGATATTTAATGCCAGTATACCATAGCCAAGGTTCTGATGATCAGTATGAAGGAGCCACAGTTATTGAACCCAAAAGAGGATACTATGCCGACCCTATTTCAACCTTAGATTTTGCATCTTTGTACCCGAGCATCATGATGGCACATAATTTATGTTATACAACTTTAGTTCCCCCTAATGCTCAAAACCAATTTAATGTTGCTGACAATGATGTTACTATAACACCTTCAAAAAACATGTTTGTAAAAAATCACATCAGAAAGGGCCTACTACCAGAAATTCTAGAATCACTACTCGCAGCAAGAAAAAAAGCTAAGGCAGACTTGAAGGATGAAAAAGACCCATTTAAAAGGTCAGTTCTGGATGGTAGACAACTGGCTTTGAAAATAAGTGCAAACTCTGTTTATGGATTTACAGGTGCTCAAGTAGGAAAATTACCATGCTTAGAAATATCTGGTAGTGTCACTGCTTATGGCAGAACTATGATTGAATTCACTAAGTCAGAAGTAGAAAAGAAATACACTAAAGCTAATGGATATAAAGAAGATGCTGTTGTTATATATGGAGATACTGATTCTGTAATGGTTAAGTTTGGAGTGAAAACTCTTGAAGAGAGTATGGAATTAGGAAAAGAAGCAGCTGAATTTGTTACAGCAAAGTTTGTAAAACCTATAAAATTAGAATTTGAGAAAGTATACTACCCATACTTACTCATTAATAAGAAACGATATGCTGGCCTTTATTTTACTAGACCAGATAAATATGACAAAATGGATTGCAAGGGTATTGAAACTGTTCGAAGAGACAATTGTCCTCTTGTTTCTAATGTAATGAGCACTTGTTTACAGAAGTTGCTCATAGACAGAGACCCAGATGGAGCTATTAATTATGCTAAACAAATTATAGCTGATTTATTATGCAATCGAATTGATATATCACAACTTGTTATTACTAAAGAACTCACAAAAAATGATTATGCTGCTAAACAGGCTCATGTAGAACTTGCTAAGAAAATGAAAAAGCGTGATGAGGGAACTGCACCGAAATTAGGAGACAGGGTTCCGTATGTGTTATGCTGTGCAACAAAAAATACACCTGCTTATATGAAAGCCGAAGATCCTATTTATGTATTAGAAAATAGCGTTCCTATTGATTTTAATTACTATTTGGAAAATCAGTTATCGAAACCCCTTTTAAGGATATTTGAACCAATTCTAGGTGAGAAAGCAGAATCTCTGCTTCTTAAGGGTGAACATACCAGAACCAAAGCTATGGTCACTTCCAAAGTTGGGGCACTTGCTGCTTTCACTAAAAAGAAAGAAAAATGTCTAGGTTGTAAAACTGTCATGCCTAGTGAAACAAAAAAAGCGTTATGTGATCACTGCATGAAAAAAGAAGGCCAGTTATACATTACAGAAGTATTCAAATTACGGCAGCTTCAACAAAATTTTTCCAGATTATGGACAGAATGTCAAAGATGCCAAGGTAGTTTACATGAAGAAGTGCTTTGTACCAATCGAGATTGTACTATTTTTTACATGAGAAAGAAAATGGGTATGGAGCTTGACACTCAAGAAAATACAATTTTAAGGTTTGGGCAGCCGATTTGGTGAAACTTATGTAAACGAAATAAAANATTACGGCAGCTTCAACAAAATTTTTCCAGATTATGGACAGAATGTCAAAGATGCCAAGGTAGTTTACATGAAGAAGTGCTTTGTACCAATCGAGATTGTACTATTTTTTACATGAGAAAGAAAATGGGTATGGAGCTTGACACTCAAGAAAATACAATTTTAAGGTTTGGGCAGCCGATTTGGTGAAACTTATGTAAACGAAATAAAATAAAATAAAAATTGAATATTAATATATTTATATTATTACATAATCATAAACTAGGAAAATACTATTATTTTAAGAAAGAATAAGTTTTTGAAATTAATTTTAACAAATACGAACTGTACAAAGATTCTGGTTACACATTTGAGTCACACATCACAGAAATAATTTTGTAAAATTTGAGATTTTTTTATTGTTGCCAAATATTAAAAACATAATTATTTGCATAACACTACTCATATAGGAACAAAAGCGGTACCGAGTCCGCCACAATTTTTCGACTGAGATTTTAAAGTATCTGTATGAGAGAAATACAACTTAAAAATAAATTCGAAGTCTTTAAGCTGTCATCGATAGGCGCGTTAGTGGTAAGGATCTACAACACCTGCAGCGCAGCAAAGACGTCAGTCAGTCAGACAGTAAGTGAGAATAGTAGTGGAAAGAACAATGGTATTATTTATAGTAGGTCTACACTCTTAAAGCAGAAATCTACAGCTCTAACAGAGCTTGTGCACCTTCTCTATACAGTACAATCTAAAAAAAAAAAGATCGAAGTTTAATTTAATCAGCTGATTATACTTGTGGATGGTACCTAGATAGTTGTTACAATGTAAGACTGCTATGCTGATTGGAAACATTCGAATTTGATCTACCTATTTTAATTTATTACTTAACTGCAATCGTGAACTTCTAGGTTTCGCAATGCATTCTGTATTCCCGTTTCTGAAAACTATGCATCACATCGTGCTGGCATGGTGAAACGCGATGGCCGTCCGAATCAAAATTTACAGTTTCTTTTACTGTAACGTTACTGTGAAAGGTCTTTGAGGGTAAAAAGTAGATGTTATGGATGACATACGATCTGCCATTAAAACATTATTATGTAACCAAGTCACATGATAGACTATTTCAAAGATAATCCAAAGAAAGAAAAAAGAAACTGTAAGCTAAGACTTAGCACATCGCTTTTATTAAGAACAGAAAGGTAGAAGTGCATGTTTAGAGCTCCCTAAATATATCTACGTCTAATTTAAACAACTTACACATTAAATTAACATTCAGTACTCATCAATTATTGTAATATTCATTTGTCAAAATAACTTTAAATCCAATCTTTCAAGAAGGTCATGTGGATCGAACTACCGTCATCAACCAATTTCAAGGGACCCATCGGGCTACGCGGTTTGACGGAAGATTTTTCAACAAATGGTAACAGTAACAACCAACAAAAACCGAAGTACCAAGAGAATCTGGACAAAGTATTCCGGAAGAGAACTAAAATTGACATTATTAAATATGGCAATGGTGTTGTCAATTGAACCAGTTTTTTTTGTTGTTTAATTCTAATTTTGGGTTTTATTTGAAAAGGTGTAAGCATTGCTCAAAAGACCTCTGAATTTAGTTTCTCATGCAAAAGTTATTTTACTGCTTATATGCTCAAAAGCGGCGGTAATCGCAAAAAAGTGGGTGCATAAAAGACAATTAAACTACAATTAAAAGTTAAACGTCGCACAATCATCATCCTAAAACGATTAATTTCACCTTTTTCATTGGCGTAACATATACAGATAAAAACATAATATGCAGACCCCAAATATCTCAAGATTTTCGGCCGAATATCGGACCCGTATACATATTAGTTAGGGTTACTAACAGTAAGATCAACGACATGAGGTCTGAGAACGTTGTTTTGATTTTCCTGAACAATGTATGTAGTAATGATTTGGGGTATCTTAATTTAATACACAAAATTCACATATGTTATTAATCTGATGACATATTTCTCTAATGCTTTCTTCCTAACGCTTCCACTAATGTAACCATAGTTTGTTATTTAGTTAAATAATTATTTAATTCTTTGTTGAATAGATGTAATTTAAAATTTATTTGTAAATATGACCCACAAATAAAAGGAGGGGTCAATGCATCAATGCATGGTAGATGATTTTTTATTTTGAAATTACTGAATTATTTGATTCTCTTTAAAGGACAAACCCGAAATCCATACAAACTTGGGCCTGGCGTTACAGTGCTAGAATTTGGGCATAAGTTACAATACCTAAGAAGGTTTCATGAGTCCAATTTTCAGGTCTCCCAGCAATGGCCAAATTGGTATAATCGGACAATGTTTACATTTTAGGTTATGTTTATTGTTCGAGATATTTTAATAAAAACTATATTTTTGAGGCTGTTTCCTACTAAAGATGAGTAATTTTTTACGAAACCTGTTGCAGCAACAGGTTGCTTTAAAATAAAAATGGAACCTGTTACGAGAAATCGCGCGTTAGATTGTTTACGAAAACGAACGAAAGCCAAAAATTAAAAACAACGTAATGCGAAACGCGCTGCGTACGAAATAATTTTTTTAAGGGATTTTTTGACCTGGTAACTAAGACCTTTAGGTCAGTCTTATTTTAATTTTAATGAAAACTTTTTTATATGAAAAACTATATTTATATGATAACTTTTTTATATAAAATATAAATCATTACGTGCTCCCATATTATCTCATCACATTTCATTTCATTTCAATTTATTTCATGCCTTTTTTATTTTTATNTCTTATTTTAATTTTAATGAAAACTTTTTTATATGAAAAACTATATTTATATGATAACTTTTTTATATAAAATATAAATCATTACGTGCTCCCATATTATCTCATCACATTTCATTTCATTTCAATTTATTTCATGCCTTTTTTATTTTTATTTTTTATTGCTTAGATACCCATCGACGAGCTAACAGCCCACCTGATGTGAAGTGGTTACTGGAGCTCATAGACATCTACGACGTAAATGCGCCACCCGCCTTGAGATATAACTTCTAAGTATAGTTACAACGGCTGCCCCGCCTTTCAAACCGAAGCGCATTACTGCTTTACGGCAAAGATAGGCGGGCGGGAGGCGCGGACTCACAAGAGATCCTACCACCAGTAAAATTATTAATGTAACTACACCATAGAAAAACTCAAAGTACCAAATCGACTTTTTCATGTTATATAAGATTGCCAGTTGAAAATATTTTGAATTGCCGCAGTTGCCGACATGATTTCGTGTCATAACTAAATGGCACAGTTATTTATTTCTTTTAATGATTTTTGTTAGTAGATTTTGGTGCTTTACGTTACGTTATTCAATGAGATTAAGTTTATAGCCTGGCCAGCGAATCATGGCACAACTAAATAGCGGCAATCCAAAATATCTTCAGTTGGCAACATTAAAGATAACATAACACGATTTGATACATTTGTGTTTTTCTATGGCATAGTCACATTAATATAAAAATGTAAAACTACCCTTTCATGGTATATTTAATGTTGTCAGTTGTAGATATTTTGAATTGCCGCCATTGTAAGTAGTTGTGTCACGATTCGATGGCCATACTCTATTTACATTGATTAAAATACCTATAAAAACAGGCATTTATCCTAAAGCAAAAGAGTATTAATTATTTTTTACACTCGATTTCCACTAAATCGATCCTATTTTATGAATGCTCTAATTCTAATCCGCACGTTTGTGGAGCTAGTTACGTATATTGAAATAAGTGTTGCAGATGTTTACAAAGATTGTTTAAAACAAAAAATTTAATTCAAATTATTTTCTACACTTGGCCATTGTCAATGAAGCTAAGATTTCAATAGGTTAATCAAGCAAAATAGACGAATTTTTTGGTACATATCCCATTCGTGTAACGCTTAGGCCCAAAATGGGGTTTCTCCTTTAAACACTTGAAACTATCAAACATCAGTAATGAATGGTAGATAATTAAAAAATGTGATTTAAAAACTACTAATTTTGAACAGTTGTAAATTTAAATATAAAATAATAGCTTTTATTGAATTGATTTATTGGAATCATCTCATCATCAATATAATAATATGTGTTGTACTGCTGATGTCCAACCTCCAAGTTATAATAAAGGAACATACCTTAAATATATATCCTAAAAAAAAGTGAAAAAGAAAACTTATGAATGACTACTAGTGCACGAGATATTATTCACAAAAGGATATAATAATATAGTATGATAGATAAATTTAATTGAATTCAAATAGGGTGTACATTTTCAACACGCACATTTTGTAGATGTTACAATGGTAAATTGTAAGCACATGAATGGGAACTTTTTCATAATAAATGCCTATGAATAAGATGTTCCCTACAAGGCCACAGTAACCATACATGTCAACAGATTACGTTTACACACCAAACTAAGAATGGTTTACACTAACTCATGTCCTAACAATTTCAATTTCGTAAGACAATTACTATTGGCATAATAGTTTTTTTTTTTGTTTTACAAGCCTACCTAAAATATTCATCTATTCTCTTGTGATAAAGTTCTACTTAGTGATTGTCTAGGCATTTTATTTGAAGAGTTGTTTTTTGTGATTATTAAATTGGGTATGGGCATTTCATATGGAGTGGTTGGTGGAGCTCCTGGAGGTGCAAGCTTCATTATATCTTCCAGCGTTCTGATGAATGTATCACACGTTGCTGTGAGTAAACTTGTTGCATCATTAATAGTCTGAAATTAGAGTGATATTTTGTTTTATAAAAATATAATACTTTTTGCTTCATAATTATTATACAAATAATCTCATATGAAGTCTATTTTTTTCCTATTAAAAGTCCATTACTAAACCTAAGCATACTTTTTAATACGCTTTTATTAGCTTCATACGTATGTTAATATGTAACGGAATCTTTCTAACATGAACATGATTTTGACCCCTTTCAAAACGTCTGATTAACTCGAAATTTAGCATAATTATTAAGGACTGATGACAATTCAATATTTTAAACAGTTTGATCCATTATCCTTGGTAGGATCATCAGGATTAGCGATTTTTTTTCTTCCTGAGACCCGGAGTCTCTGCGTTAAGACCAAGAATCGAAAATAAGAGCAGCACCAATCACCTATTTCTCAAATAAGTTACACACTGATTCAGATGCAATTTCTGAAAAATTGAAAAAGTATTGAAAAAATTTGAGAACAACTAAAAATGTAAAATTTTTTTTTAATAAATTTGAATTAAAAATAGTGTAAGGAAAAATGATTTTATTGTAAAAAAAGCATGGGGTGCTTTTTAGGATATTATCAGAATAACCCATCTACTCATATCTGTTCATAAAATATTTACAACTATTGATACCATGCACCCCACGCTTTTTTTATAATAAAATCATTTTTTCTTACACTATTTGTAATTAAAATTTATTAAAATTTATTTTCTATTTTTTAGTTGGATTTTCTATAAAAGCGTAATTTTTTTAGTTTTTTTAACTGTTTTTTTTTTACTGGTCTATTTTAATATTACACTTTTATGTCAATCTAATGATTAAGGTATTTTTTACCTGTAATTCAGGACCAGTATCTGCATTTGCCGCACTTTTCACTGCATGAACTTGCTGCATCATGAGATCACAATACAAACGCAATTCAGATTTTTTATGACTCAAAGTATTTGTATCCTCGAAGATTATACCTGAAATTAAATATTATATAAAAACATTATATGTACATGTATACATTTTTAATACTGTACTAGTAGTAACAAAGTAAGAAAGGTGAGTTGTTAAATAACCTTTTATATCTTGTGCGTCAACACATGCCTTGGCACTTCCTAATGCCACAAGCCATTTTTGTCTATCTTGAGGAGAAGGTGCCCTTAAGTACATATGCTGTTGACCCGGTATCACTAGATCCAATCTTGTGTTGTCAATAGTATTAACTGAAAATTTTATTTAAAGCTAATTTTATCCATTCTAAGCAATCCTGAAATGTCTATCATGAGCTATTAAACAGAAACAAAGCATACAAAAGAAAGTAATCTATAAATTTAATAATAATGTATGAGTGTTTTGATTGATCCCATTATATTGTTGATCTAGTTATCAATCTATCGGGATTGATATCTATATCAACAATTGGGATGAGGTTTTCAGTAAGTGTCTTAAATAAAAAAAATATAGCATGAAGTCTGGATATAGTTATGTTGTTTTTATTATTTTTCGTGATGTTACATGAAAAAATAACGGAACGTTTTGTCTTACCATTTATTTGACAAACAGATACTTTCACTGATCCTTTACATCCCTGAACTACTTCATCTTGTGATTTATAATAAGAAAGTATACCATTCTCTAACACAAACCATCTTGTCTGCCATCCTGAAAAGTATAATGTAATTATTATATTACTACATATTTAAACTACGTGTTCTTAAGCAAAACTAACTAAATTACCGTTCCAATAATTTGTCCATTTCCATAAAACTCCCTCCATCGTTCTAAAATAAATTCATTTATTTTTGCATTATTGAACATGGGCCTTCAGTAGATACCCTTAATATTATGTTGCAAATGTTGAAATTGTTGTAAAACAATTTCTAATTTCCCGTTTTTCAAATTTTCGTCTAGTTGGATGTCAAATGCCAGTGTCATAGCTACTTTCTTTCAATGTCAAAAAGGAAAATTTTATAGTTTTTTAATCATAGAGTTTTAATCCATTTCTTAACCCTTAATCGGGCACAGAGAACTATTTTCCCACCCTCTGAATCTAGATAAAATTCCGAATATTTTTGAAGTGACAACATCGACATCAACCCTACGAAAAGCACAGCGGTGCTCTTCAAAAGGGGTCCCCCTCCGAACACCACGTTGAGCATCCCTTTCCCGACTAGGCGCGTCGACACCTCCGTCTCCGCCATTCGCCCAATCATGATGTACGACCAACCCATACCATGGGTGCCGAAGGTCAAATACTTAGGCGTCACCCTCGACAGAAGGATGACATTTCGCCCCCATATAAAGACGGTACGCGACCGTGCCGCCTTCATACTAGGACGTCTCTACCCGATGATATGCAGGCCAAGTAAAATGTCCCTTAGAAATAAGGTGACACTACAAACTTGCATACGCCCCGTCATGACCTATGCAAGTGTAGTGTTCGCTCACGCGACCTAAACTCACCTAAAATCATTCCAAGTTATTCAATCCCGTTTTTGCAGGATAGCCGTCAGAGCCCCGTGGTTCGTCAGGAATGTCGACCTCCATGACGACCTGGACTTAGAGTCCATCTGTAAGTATCTACAGTCGGCGTCGATGCGCCACTTCAATAAAGCGGCACGACACGAGTACCCTCTCATCGTGGCTGCCGGTAACTACATTCCCGATCCTGCGGAAAGAATGGAAAGCAGTCGACGTCGCCCCAAACACGTCATTTCGGATCCTCCCGATACACTAACGGTGCTTTTAGGTACCTCAAGCACCGGTCATCGTTCTCATCGAACCCGCCACTTGCGACGAAGGGCTCGACGAGTAAATTAACCCTCCGACTGAGTTTCTCACCGGATCTTCTCAGTGGGTCGTGTTTCCGATCCGGTGGTAGATTCTGCTAAGCACGGCTCTTGCTAGGGTTCGTGCTAGCAACGTCATTAGGTTTGAGCCCCGTGAGTTCACCTACTAGTAAAGGCGACGCTGATATAGCCTTGAGAGGCTATCAGCTTAGATAGGGAAAAAAAGCTAAATCGTATTTACCTGGCGTAGGGATACCGTGATCATGCAGGCTGCAGACGGTTTTCCCAGGGTGAGGCTGCTCCAATATACTGCGGAGTGGTTGACCCTTGGCTTAGATGGTTGGACGAGCTCACAGCCCACCTGGTGTTAAGTGGTTACTGGAGCCCATAGACATCCACAACGTAAATGCGCCACCCATCGTGAGATACAAGTTCTAAGGTCTCAAGTATAGTTACAACGGCTGCCCCACCCTTCAAACCGAAACGCATTACTGCATCACGGCAGAAATAGGCAGGACGGTGGTACCTACCCGCGCGGACTCACAAGAGGTCCTACCACCAGTAATTACGCAAATTATAATTTTGCGGGCTTCATTTTTATTACACGATGTTATTCCTTCACCGTGAAAGTCAATCGTGAACATTTGTTGAGTACCTATTTCATTAGAAAAATTTATTTTCATTAGAATTCATTAGAAATATTTTTTATAAGTGCCACTTCTACTGTGTATGACTTGCACACATACACATTTTTTTTATTTAATTCCGAGCATTTTCATGTTTAACTACCTTTTAAACCTTCTCTGGACTTCCACAAATATTTCAAGACCAAAATTAACCAAATCGACCTCGGGGCAAACCCCACTGCCCAGGCAGAAGCTCCCTGCCACACAGGGCAGGGTGATGTGGGTGCAGGATGAGATGTAGTGGTAAGTGACATGGTCACTACACAAGGGGGTCGCGGGTTCGAATCCCGCCAAGGGAAGATATTTGTATGATAAATATAAATGTATTTTCCAGGGTTATGGATGTATATTAAATATATGTATGTGTATAATAAAAATCTTACATTTATATCCGTTATCTGGTACCTGTAACACAAGTTCTTTACGAATTTATCACGGGGCCGGTTAACGTGGCGTGATTGTTAGTATATATTTATTATTATTATTTATTTATTTATTATTATGTAGGGGGGCGTGTTCTTTAAAACACTGAAGCATTCTTTAAAAACATTACTTTACCATAGACAATACTCTAATACTTTACTCATAGAGTCAGTCAAATATATTAAGTGTATAATCTATGGAGTCAGATAAACACATATTATTAGGGACTTTTTGGCGGGAACGCGAGGAGTGAAGTTGTGTGATTTGTTTTATTTTGTCTATTTAGTGTTTCTTCGGGTTTAAATGTGTAATAATGGTGGTTTATTAACCGTTTAATATCTGTGAAAGTGCACAAATGTGGGAAAATGAAACAAAGCCGCTGGACGTAACTTCTCGGGATCCTCCAAAAAGTCCACTGAAAAAATCTCAGTAAATGACCATTATTTTACTGCGATTATATTCCATTCCATATCATCTCATTTCATTTAATTTCATCCCAGTTGATTAATGTCTCAAATCAATCATCTTCATTTAATTTCAGTCCCTTTTATCATTTTTCATAAAAATAAGACTGTAACTTAAAATAAGACATGACTTAAAAGTCTCAGTTACCAGGTCATAAAATCCCTTAAATTAAAACATATTATTAATTTACTATTTGGAATTTGTTGGTTATGTATGTCTGGGTAGGGCACAGATTAACGGTTTTTTCTTCAAAATGACCAAAAGTGCAACTATTTTCGTTTTTATAATCATCACTTCATTTCTAGAAGGTGCGTATGGTTATCATATTACAATAACATTTTACACGTTACAAGTGCAACAAGCGTTGGCTACTCCAGGTTTGATACTCGTTACAATTTAAATTTTTCCAATGTTACTTTCAGTGCTAAGCCTCGAGTGTTATGTTTGTGAAAATCAAGAAGATAATAATGGAAAGTGTGTAAACACCATAAAGCCCTGTGAACACAACCAAGATGTTTGTCTGACCGAAATCAGATGGGGTAGTACTCCATATTGGTCCCAAGGGGCAAAGAAACAATATTATATATCTAAAAGCTGTTCTAACAAAACTGAATGCCCTAAAACTAGACAACAAAACATGCCTTTATGCACGTACATTTGGTATCAAGACTGGAAGTGCTCAGATTGCTGTCTCGGCGACCGATGCAATTATTACATTATAGTAAGTCAACACAAAATTAATTGAATAATTTAGGCATATGGATTTTCATATCATGACTCTTCTCTATTAATATTGGTCGTCATTGATTCAGAGAGACTTCCTGCTTTTAAGTAGCAGATATTATTGAGAACATGTTTTAAATTCAATTACATACCTTGAAACATGAGTTCAAAGTACTATTTTATAAAAATGTCTGCTATACCCTTCAAACTGGAACACATAACCGCTTTGTAGTGTAATTAGGCTGAATGGTGGAATGATACCAAGCAGATTCACAGCTTAAAACGCATAATGTGGCTCTGTAGAATCTTGGAAACTGCAATAAATTGAATACCTTGTTATGCAGACAAAGCGTAGCCGTTTGTGAGTGGTTACCATACAGGGGTACTGCCAAATTGCTGCCTACCTCTGAGAAACATACCTTGGTTGAAAGTCTTTTCACATTCATCATTATGTTTTTAGAATTTGAGTAACCTGTATTGATCACAGCTAAATTTTTATTCATTTGCATTTATTAGTACTTCAGAGTAACTGATCATAACAACATCTTGCTCTGTCATAGGTATAAATGCAGATTATACCTATTTTTGCAAAAGTTGAAGATACAATTAGGAAAAACCTTAAATCTTCAAAAAAGTAATAAAATAGTTTTAACCCTTAGAGCTTCTTGGCTTCGCTATAGAGTAATCAGTCATTTGTTCTGTAACTCTGTAGGCTTTGCTACAGAGCCAGCTATCACCTTACTGTAAATCTAGGCTTTGCTGTAGAGCCAAATGTTTTTAGCATGATTAAGATGCTAAAGAATTGCCTATATTGGCAATTGTTATCTCTAGTTAAAATATACCATGTCTCTGTCCTGTTGCTATTAAGCCATATTTTACCTTTTTCATAGGTAGCAACATGGAATGAGGAAATACAATAAATACTCTCAGCTTGATTGGATAAGAAATAGTATCATTATTGAGTAACTAGCATACTGATAACCTTTCATAATAATTAATTCATATATTCTGTATAAAGCTGTACAACAACAAAATTAAATAGCACTAAAGTATTTACTATACTGAAAAGTTTTTGTCTATCAACTAGTAGGAAATGTTCTTCAGAAGAGAACAAGAGTCTACATAAATTTCTGAAATCAGTAATCACTAAACAAAACACTTTGTATAATCAGGAACGATGTTAATGGAGACTGTGTTGTGTAGACTCCACAAGGAACCAGACGTATGGGAGACATCAAACAATCAATCAAATTCGCCCAAATAAACCCAGAATGGACATTCTAGATTTTTTTTCAAAGATATCACACCTTAGTGAATTACAAAATTATTATAATTTTTTCATTTATAATATCATTTCCTCACTTAAAATGAGACTCCTTTGCTCTGGATTTGTGTGCTGAATATGCTGGAATTGTAGTGATAAAATACGCACAGAGCTCTATAGATTATACAACAATTTACATATTATTTTAAAAATTGTTATTTAAAGCAGTATTTTTAATTTACAGAGTGGGAGCAGACAAAATATGCCATTTAACGGAATCATATTGGGATTGACATCTGTTTACCTGCTTTCTTTAACTAATTTTCACTAAATATATGGGATAAGTATGTTATATGAATATCATACATTGCCGGCACTCTCCTTTTTGACTGATCAATGTGAATAAAATAGCAAGTAGTTGTACAAGTAAGAAATGTTAATGTCCAAAGTTGTCACAAATGTACATTATAGTACATTTTTTAATTAGTATTTCTTTTTATGTAAATCATTTCAAAAACTAGTTTTATTGGTATTATAATGTAAGCTAAGAATACTAATGAATTATTCTAGAAAAAATTAAGCCAACATCTTTAATGGTGCCTTGTTTACGTCTGTACGTGTTCCATGTTGATAATTGTAAATTGAAAAGAGAAATAGAACCTGTATACTACAATTAAGATTAAGCTCTCACGAGCTTGCTTGATACGATAGTACAGTAAAAGCTCTTTATTTGCGGGGTATATATTCCGTAATTAAGCCACGAATACAGAAACCGTGAATATGGAATGGTAATTTACATACATATATTATATGGGATTGTAGGGCATATTATGTATCTAGGTAACAACATAGAAACACATACATAGTGGCATAATTGTAATAAGGTATTTTTTAGTCCATTTGACGACGTGATATTCCCTTTGATACTGAATGATGTACCGATTAGATTCGCGAATAAAGAAATATTTAGCCGCGAATATAGGAATTGGGTCGGCCGGTTTTTAATCCTCTAATAGTGAAAGCGCGAATAACGAGCTTTTACTATATTTATGTTACCTCATCGGAAAATGACAGCAAGGAAATTACTTTTTATACTATAACATGAAACACACCAAATTTGGGTTTTTAATTATTATTTTCTCATATTATGATTGTCATGAGGTACAATAGTTTTCAGTTACCGAATTTGGTCAACAATTTCCACAAAATTAAATATGTATGCCTTGCCAAGCAAAGTATTTAGGTACTTTCAGTAATGCAGAGGAATACTAGACAATTTTCTGTGATGTGTAATGAATCCGTCCATTTTAGTTTAAGAATTATTGACTTTATTTTACCTTAATGAACGTATTGTGTAATTTTTTTATATTAAAATACTAAAAATAATGTTTTATTTATTTAATCTGTACCTTTTCTTCCAATTGGCAGATAATCTTCAAACTACTGTAATTCTTTCAATATTTGTTAGCCTGAGACTATATTTATGATTAAACCCTAGTCCGGTGGAAGGCTGTGCGATGATGGTGGCTAGGGTATGCAATGAAAAGATGAAGGGATCATCTTAAACTTCGTCCAGGTGAAACTGGAAATATCAGTCAATATCAGTCTGGAAATAGTCAATATCAGTCAATTGAAGTCGTCGTGGCCTAACGGATAACGGAATCTCAGGCGGGTACCAATTTTTCTAATGAAATATGTACTTGACAAATGTTCACGATTGATTTCCACGGTGAAGGAATAGCATCGTGTAATAAAAATGAAACCCGCAAAATCATAATTTGCGTAATTAGTGGTGGTAGGACCTCTTGTGAATCCGCGCGGGTGGGTACCACCACCCTGCCTATTTCTGCCGTGAAGCAGAAATGCGTTTCGGTTTGAAGGGTGGGGCAGCCGTTGTAACTATACTTGAGACCTTAGAACTTATATCTCAAGGTGGGTGGCGCATTTACGTTGTGGATGTCTATGGGCTCCAGTAACCACTTAACACCAGGTGGGCTGCGAGCTCGTCCACCCACCTAAGCAATAAAAAAATCACCAGTAAATCTTTTCTTCTTCTAGTCTCCATGGATCAATGGTACAAAACACAGTGAGATGAAGTCTATGTAAATTGCGATAGTGCCAACGGCCCGTTTTTTGTATGAAGCCTCAAGGGAACAGCTGGTATTTGGCAGTCCTGACCTAGATAGAAATGGAAGCAGTGCTCCATACGAGATATAACTTGTCCTTTCTAAAATATAAGTCTTCGTTCAGCTGTGACTGCTTTATTCGGCATCTTAACATTTTAGATAGTACTAATTTGGCTTCCTCCCAAATGTCTGATATTGAAGAATATTTAAACGATTTACTCCAAGAGTACTGTAATGTGGTTACAGAGGTAGGCGCTCTTTTGAAACGCCATGACAAAGGTTTTTTTCGGAGTGATTGCGGAAACCTATTTATTCAATGGGTTCCTCCTTGCGTCGGTCAAGAGACCCTGAGTAATGAAGACATTACTCAGGGTTGTGACCACGTCGTGACTCCCTCGCTGCATCAGTCTCTCTTGTACGATTGTTCTCCATCTGCTGAGATCCATGGCTTAGTGGAGTGCATCGTGGAGCTTGATATCCAGACCGAATTTGGTCCGACCATCTCGTGGGACTGCGTCCTCTGGGACGTTTGCTCTCCATCTTGCCCGTCACCAACAGCTGCTCAAGATTTTAACCCTCCTTTCAAGCAATTTGTCCGAAGAACTCCAATACTCTACAAATTCATATTGTGGAGAGTCTAGTTTTAACATAAAGCTCCTTTAGTATCGACACATAGGTGCGAAAGACAGCCCATGGAATCTGCAGCAATTTCCTCCAGCACCACATTTCGAAGGCGGTCTCTGTGAGCCTTTTTCAGTGTCCAGGTTTCCGCTCCGTAAATTAATATGGAGAAAACCAGCGAATTCACCAACCTAAGTTTTGTTTTCCGCGAGATGTTTCGGACTCTCCATATCTTATGCAGTTGAGACATTGCATTTTTGGTCATCTCTATACGCTCCTTGTCTCTTTTTCACATGACCCTGAGTTATTAATATTAGCCCCTAGGTAGATGAAGTCGGTCACGATTCAAGGCTCAACGTTTCCGTTAGTTCAAGACTCTTGGCACGATCCACTATCATTACTTTGGTTTTGCCATGGTTGATTTTGAGACCCAACTGTAACTGATGATGATGATATCAAAGCAGGGGTTCTGTAAATATCGCACTTGGAAGTGGATCCCTTTTTATGGAGAGGTAATATGAAGACTGTCCAGTCCGAACGCCAACTTTCAGTTCGCCAGATGTCGCAAATTTTTTGTAGGATTTTTACAGCGTCAGGACCTATAATCTTTATTATTTCCGCGGTAATGCGGTGTGGACCGGGGGCTCTCCTGAGATTGAGCACGTCTATAGCGGCCGTGATTTCTGATTCAAGGATGGGTGATTCCAGCGTTAATTCGTCCCAATTTGTTGAATCTTGTGGTGATCTGTATTCATGTGGATTTCTATTGAGATTCTCGCAATAGTAACGCTATCTTCTCGTCACTCCCTCTAAGTCTTGCAGAAGCATGCCATCTTCGTCTTCAATCAGCCATGATCTTGATTTGAACTGTTTTGACAGCAGTTTTACTTTTCGAAGAGATCCGAGTTTTGTGCTCTGAACGCGTGCTTCTCCACTTCTTCGCAAATACGTTCAACAAAGTTATCTTTATCATGCCGACAGTCTTTGGATCATTCTACTAAACATTAAGTACTTTTCTCAGTCTACTTGATCTGCCAAACCACGGCTTCTAAGCTCTTTCTTATCCTGTACATATGAGTTTCCAAGTCTTATTTGATATCCAAGTTTGTTTAGGGTAGGGTGTCACAGAGTTCTCGCCGCCAACCTTTTCGATTGTCTCATTGATTTGGCCCTTTAGGTGTTCCCACTGCTTGTCCGAGTCTGCGTCTGCAGGTTGTGGTACTTGAATAATCGCCGTGTCAAATGGATGGAAATGGTTTTGTTCTATGGACGTAAACTTATACTACATCAGCTTAGGACATCATTTACTGGTTGTAGTACCTCTTGTGAGTCCGCACGAGTAGGTAGCACCACCCTGCCTATTTCTGCCGTGAAGCAGTAATGCGTTTCGGTTTGAAGGGTGGGGCAGCCGTTGTAACTATACTGAGACCTTAGAACTTATATCTCAAGGTGGGTGGCGCATTTACGTTGTAGATGTCTATGGGCTCTAGTAACCACTTAACACCAGGTGAGCTGTGAGCTCGTCCACCCATTTAATCAATAAAAAAAATGGTACAGCTGCGGTTAATAAATACTCCAGGCAGTTTCTGTCATAGTACCATCAACGTATACATAAATAACTAGCTTTTGCCCGCGACTTCGTCCGCGTGGAATAGTTACTTTGGCATAACGCTAATTTTTACCCGCGACTTCATTTACGTAGAAAATGAAAATATTTTTGAATAATAGAGTATTAAGGAGCTATTTAAGGTACCAAAATCAACCTTTTTAACCGACTTCAAAAGAGGAGGCTATCAATTCGACCACCATTTTTTATCTATGTAGGTATGTTCGCCGATTTCTTGAAAATGCTTGAACCGGTTCTGATAATTCTTTTTTCTATTTTTTGTTCGAAAGGGTAGACTTCCCGAATTCTCCTGTAATCATCAAGACCTGATGATGGGATCCTGGAGAAATGGGAATATTTTTTTTGAGAAGTCAATGCTTTTTAAACAATTAGCCAAGCAGGACGAAGTGTGACCGGATTTACGATTAAAATTTACAATTAGAGTGTGATATTTTAATGCTTACCTGTTATGAGATCAAGTTATTATTCTATCTGCCTGAATAATCTATAGGCTTTTGTGTACACTCGATTTTGCTCCGCATCAAATTGTCATACCTGGTGCTTTAAGCGAAATCGATTCTTGAGGCGTAAACTTTAATAAACTCCGTAAAGCAAGCATTTATGTTTTTCTCAAGATATTTACGGCAGGCGCTTCGAAACTAATCGTTGTTCATTGTAGGTACCTGTTTGCTAGTCCAGTAATCCAGTAGTCCAGTAGATCAGAGGTTACAAGGATTTTTTCTCATAGGCCACTTTTAAAATTTAGCTGCTTGCGGTAGGCATCTACATTTCTACCGTAACTCCCAAAACTCGACATTAAAGGTATGTGAAGATTAGATCTAACTATGGAAATTTGCGTTGGAACTGAGTTTCAAGTACGAATAAATAGTTTAAGAAAAAAGGGGAGAATTGATTGGTTTATTAATTATTTCATTGCTTTTTAAGTGGATGTCAACAAAGGAAAGTTTCCAAAAAAAGAAGCACACAGGGGAAAAGCGCATAAGGAATCAATCAATTCTCACTTAAATCAGTTAAAAAACGTTCTATTCTGCATTCGGGGTGGTAAAAATAAATAGTGTATTCATATAACAATGTAACGTAGACTGACAGCAATTAATTTACTATCGAAAGTTTAGAACGAATATTAACCCCAATTTTTTTGCAACGCTGACATAGTCCCGTGTCGAGTCTCCCATGGACCCTGTGGATTCACCTGGGCTACTTTGGGAACTAAGGGTGTAGATGAGTTTTTAGTCTAGTAAACTCCTGGTCTAGGAGCAATGAATCATAATATTATTACTATCATAATACATGGTATAACATAATTCATGGATATACGGTAAGATTCTGTTATGGGAAGTCAGTGCAAGATGACTGTACTATGACTATTGACTGTTATTAAATTGTACCATTGCTAGCTGAAGTGCCTGACCTATTGCAATGGTAATTCTTATTGGTCTGTAGGTTCAAGAGGGCTGGCAACACGATAGAAAAATTCTCAGAAAAAAAAATCGCCAAGTGCCAGCTCTAGAGGAAAGTAGCCGCTAGTTTTTCTTTAAAATAATTCATTTGAAAAAACTTAATGTTAAAAATGAATTGGAAATGTCCAAACCTATTTAACTTTAAATTATCCTCATGTTTATTTATTTTGGTAAGTACATCGACTTCATCGGAGTTAGATTAATGGTCTGGACTGTTTGATTTTATGGTCATTTGTAAGTAATCGGTGTAAAATAACGTGATTATGTTATTTTACAGTTGTGTCACAGTTTTTACAACCCCACCGATAGCGGAGCTGTACAAATTACACAGAGTAATTTAGACATGGTCTTAGGTAAGTAAATGCTCGGTAATATCTGTAAACACTATCGTTTAATTGTACTGATTGGAAGATATGTATGCTCAGAAGAACGGTAACCTGTAAATAAAAAAAGCCATTAATAAAATTCTCAAATGTTCTACGAAAAAAGACCAGATTTGGTTGTACAACCTTCAATATTTCTATTAGATTTTAAATAAATTTTGATCTACGATTTCAGATTGTGATCTGAAAAAAGGAAGTTTATTTAAGAAATTTTCTTAATGGTCTTTGTTAATTAAAACAATATTTAAGATCAACAATAAAAGTAGGATGTATATTAAAACATTTTTTGTTATTAAGCATTAGTACTAAGTGATGAATTTAACTCTGCTTTATCTTAAACTAGCTGACCCGGCAGACTTCGTAGTGCCTCAATCGATAAATAAAAAACCTAAACTTTTGTATAAAACAGAAACAAAAGGAATCCGTCCGACGGTGGACACATCAAAGGAAAAACAAAATTGTTATTTTTATTTCATTCCGAGATTTTTCATATTTATCTACCTTTTAAACCTTCTCTGAACTTCCACAAATAATTCAAGACCAAAATTAGCCAAATCGGTCCAGTCGTTCTCGAGTTTTAGCGAGACTAACGAACAGTGATTCATTTTTATATATAGGATATAGATTTGGGTGATTGAGCTCATGGCCCGCCTGCTACGGAGTGATTACTAAAACCCATAGACATCATAATGTCAATGTCAGTCCAGGCATTCCCGAGTTTTAGCGAGACTAACGAAAAGCAATTCATTTTTATATATAAGTATAGATAGATAGATAGATAGATAAAGTCAGATTGAGGATTAAGAAGTTGATCATCATTTAGAATTCTCTTTTGCTTACTATTTCCATACGATCTAAACCATTTCATTTTTCTTGTAGTATAGATTTAGATAAAATGTTTCCATCAACAGCGTTATCAACATGATATTGAAAACCAAAAAAGACAGTAAACTGTTTTGTACGTTTCATAAAAACAAACATTGCATTCAGATATTATTATCTTACCACAACAGATTACAAATTTGAAGATATAAAAAACATTATAACAAATACATATTTATTATATATTATTATATAAAAATATTTTTAGATTGATCATGCCATAAGAGAGAATTTAAAATTTTGATAATAAAATGTACATGTATTTATTAACTAGGAATACAAAATTTATGTGTATTTTATATCACCCTACAAAAACCTAAAATACATGTATGTATATTATACAGGTACAGGTATTATAGCATCTCATAAAGTTTAATTAATCTTAATAACTAGTGGTCCCCCAGCAGTCGAAATTTGAATATTATTGAACTTTTTTAAGGTTCTAATGTCAAAAACTATTTATTATACTTCTATAATCACAGATTGCGCCAAGGCTACACATTATGGACAAATAATATTAAAGACAAACAATTTTAATCTATTCTCAATCTGATCACAAACTTTAACAATAAACAAAAGAGTCCATATGCATGTTGTGTCAAATACATGGTAGTGTGTGTAGTATCCTTTTATTGATTTAATGTACTTTCTATGCTTAAAAAAAATTAACATTCTGCACTCCTTCTCTGTATTCTCTATAAGTGTGGGAAATTTCATACTTCTCCGTCTGCACAATTTTCGTAAAAAGGCGTACAGCGTTTTTGCTTTACGTATTAATATATAGATAATTTTGTATGATTTAGTTGAAACTTTATAACTCTTTAAAATAACTACTACTTTACCTCATAATTGCTATCTTAAATAGTCCCTCAGCATGTTGTAACCCAGTACTGGATACCTGCCATCCTGCTTATTTTCGCAATGAAGAAATATCACATTCAAGTTTGAGACTTTAATGATGTCTCAAGATAAGCAGCAGCTTTGACCTTGTGATGATGATAGGCTACAGACTTTTAAAGCAGTATTTTATTAAGATCAAGCACGAAACTGACAAAAAAAACTAATTATTTCATTTTTGTTTCAGCTTCAAATGAAGTAGTATTCATAAATTTTTATGCAGAATGGTGTAAATTCAGTAACATGTTAATGCCTATATTTGACGATGCTGCTGATGAGGTGACAAAAGCTGGCTATGACACAGGTAAAGTAGTTATGGGGAAAGTGGACTGTGACAAAGAAGGTGCTATTGCAACACGGTTCCACATAACTAAATACCCTACATTGAAACTGTTCCGCAATGGTTTACCAGCTAAGAAAGAATACAGAGGTAATTGTTAATGTTTTATCAAACATATTCATTAATTAAACACTGTGTATCTTATAAACTGCCAGTGTAAACACCTAGGTCATTCTATTTGTTTTAGTTATGTTTTAATAGGGAACAACTCAATATAAAGTATTTAGCTTTTAAGTTTTAGTGGGAATTTACAGGGCAGGCTCCATCCTTGTTCCACCAAACACCACTGCAAGTGTGCACCTTAAATTGTCACTTTAGGAAAGGTGCATTTTGTTCCTGTCATAAAATATGTTATCTTATTATTTATCTTATTATTATTGTGTATATATATATCTGTTGTTATTTATCATTAGCTTATAGTGATACAGCCAAAAATCTCAGTGAGTGAATTTCAGTTAATGCAGATTGATTAAATCGTAAAACATTACTTTTCAGGTCAGAGGTCGGTGGAAGCATTTGCAGAGTTTATTAAAAAGCAATTGGTAGATCCAATAGTTACTTTCAGCTCTATCAAAGAACTCCACGATTTGAGTGATGAAAAACGCCATATTATCGCCTACATGGATAGAAGGGATCAACCAGAATATGATGTTATTAGAAAAGTAGCAGCTAGTCTTAAAGATGAATGTTTGTTCCATGCTGGTTTTGGTGATGCCTCGCAACAGATGCACCCTCCAGGTACGTTTCATTAAAACTTATACCAAACTGTTTCAAAGTAATTTTAAACCAAGTTGTTATATAATTAAAGTTAATGTCGTGAGAAGGAAAGAAATATGTGCGAAAGAAGGTGTGCTATGGTATTCACATTTTTGTATCTATTCATTCTGGTAACCACTTAATACAAAGTGGGTTAAGAGACTCCTATCTATGACAATAGAATTTAATTAAATGAAGAATGCCAAAGTTTCAAGTAATGTTGTTTCCACAAAAATTCTTGGAGAAATTCTTGTTAATTTTCATCATAGACTAGTATACGAGATAAGAGTTGATTCATTATTATAACCTGTTTTCTGTTTTGTTTTTAGGTCAACCAATAGTGGTATTTAGAGCTGATCAAAAAACATCCACAGAACCAGATGAAACCTACAGAGGTTCACTGTTAAACTTTGATGAATTATCTAGTTGGGTACAAGAGAAGTGTATTCCTTTAGTCAGGGAAATCACGTTTGAGAATGCTGAAGAATTAACAGAAGAAGGCTTGCCATTCCTCATTCTGTTCCATCACCCTGATGATACAAAGAGTGTTAAGAAATACAAAGAAGTAATTATGAGTGAGTTGGAGAGTGAGAAACGTGAGTAAAATATTATTTTATTGTAATTTGTTTTGAATGAGTAATATTTGTGGAGGAATTACATTCAGAACGTATGAAGGTTGCAACACTCAATCATCGTCACAATGTGGATGCCATCACTCATATTGAGACTTGAGGTGGAAGTCTGTTGCACTCTTCAAACTGAAATGCAAGATTACTTCGCGATTATCGTGTTGAAATAAGCATGAATGTGATACATCTCAATGCAGGTTGACCAAATACTCTATGGTAGGCAGTGACTTGGCTCTTTTACCCCTGGCGCTGCTGTTGTCCACGGGCGATGGTAACCACTCATCATCAGATGGGCCGTATGCTAGTCTGCATGCAAGGGCAATAAAAAAAACTACCACCAGTAATTATAGGCTCACATGTAATCTGAAAGACTATCAGTCATTAGCCTTCTCTGTTGACATAGGAAAATAGGCTAGAACTTTCCCTGGATTGTGCTTGCGTGATTGATTTATTAGACATACTTTCATGATAACACTATATATTTAGCGCTATATTACATAAATGAACTGCATAATATGCAGCTGAACAAAAAATGTTTACATCAATGTAAATATTAGTTACAATACTATTTCATATCTCAAAATGTACAAGAAACAAAACTTAACTGCAAACCTACTATTGTTTTAATATCACACTCTCATTATTTTTCTTCAAGGTCTAAGTAGTAGGATTCATAAACCAGTTGTGTAAATACAAATTTTAATTTACAGAGAATGTCAACTTTCTGACCGCGGATGGTGGTCGTTTTGAGCATCCACTGCACCACTTGGGCAAGTCAACATCGGATTTACCTTTGATTGCTATAGACTCGTTTCGTCACATGTACTTATTCCCGGATTATAAAGACATTGAGAAGCCAGGACAGTTAAAACAATTCCTTTTAGATTTGTATTCTGGAAAACTCCATAGGTATGATTATTTTATTAACGTGTCGGATAAATTTTAAACGTAACTTATCAACAATTCATTAATTTACATATTGTTAATAAATATGTAAATGTGACAATTTCACAATGTTTGAACGATTTTGGAGGAAGTTCTCAGTGATACTGTGAGGAACTTGCGTATTTTGTTCACTAAATGTCTATGTTGGTTGTCAAATAAACGTGATTGTTAATTTTATAACGCCTATAAAGTCGCACAGGCTGACGAATTATAAATCGGGGTTTTAATTCCAGAGAATTCCACTATGGCCCTGACCCAGTGCAAGAAGCGATTGCTTCTGACGTTAAAGTGACGACGCCTCCAGAATCTACCTTTAAGAAACTAGCTCCATCTAAAAACAGATACACTTTGCTCAGAGACGAGTTATAAACAGCCAAAACTTCGTCCATATAATTGAGACTCATTTGCGTCATGAAAAAACAGAACATGAAAGTAACTTCAAAAATGAACATTGTTGATTTATATGTTGCAACATAAGTGTATTTGTAATTTATAATATTCATAGACAACAGATATAATATCACATTTAATTTTAAGTTGAATTCTCAATGTAAAGTTGCTGTTATAAAATTCATAACGGAAACGAGTCACAATATAAGTTATTTATAAAAATTATTCTATTGTAATTGTTTTGAGAATATTCAGTCTTGTTCTTATTTCAGTAAATCTATAGATCTTTTTATGTTTGTATGTAAAATTACGTATTCGTGGACTCACTTCGCCGGCTTGAACTACTGTATCGGTATTAAAATTATAGCATTGAACTATCCAATTGTAAAGAAATCCATTTAGCAATAAAAAATCCAACAAAAATATTCAATCTAGTTCCTTCGTAACTAGTTAATGTTCAAACTGGTCAAGTTAGAATTTTGTACTATAATAATACTATATATGCTCATTTTAGGTTTTGTGTTTTAAATATTCCTTCCAATTAAAGAGTGTTATGGTATGACAATGCACAAAAATAATTTACCAATAGTAAAAAGAATAATAATGATCAACCTGAGATGCAAGTTGTAAAAAAATACTATTGCTTGTATTGCTACATACTTTAAGTGCTAATTAATAGTTTTTAAATCAATTAAATTTAACCCGTATTTATTTCCGAATGAGTATATTTCGTGAGATCTGCTGAATATAAAAGTAATGTAGCTTGGTTACAGGCAATTTTATTATTACTTATAAAAAGATTTTTATTTTTAATATGGCAATAATAAAATGGCTACCGTTTAATTGTATGCTTTTAATGTTGTGAGAAAATACAGAATATTGTAGTGTGCTCGTGGCATAATGATATCATAAGCCGAGATACTGCATAATCGACTAATGTGTTTCTACATGTTCTAATTTTAATATGGTAATGTCACACGAGTGTTCACAGTTGATGACTTGTAAACAGTGCATTGAAATACATCAGAGTACCAGTGATAGTCTTAATAAAAGAATCTTCATCAAAATGTGGTGCCAATCTTTTTATTTACACATAATATTTGTAGTATATCTTTTCATAAATTATATTTAAATGTAAATACTTTACAAAGTTACACTTTAAGGTTTGATAGGCACAAGAATTTTATTTGTTCGTCCTAGTTAGTCCAATAAAGACGACTATTGATATAAGTTTGTTGTGATAGCTTATGATATCGAGGCTCAGCGTGAGCCTTGCTCTTGCTTTGTAAGGCCTCATCTAGCCTGATGAGTATCAGTGAGTGAAATGCACGAAAATATTGCTTCCCCTGTTCTTAGATAGTCTATCAGTTAGTTGTTAAGGGGGCGTCTAATAATTACACGAAGTTTTTTTTTAATTTCCTCTTTGTGAGATTTAATGAGGTACGGGGGGCTTCTCCCTACCCTTCAAAAGAATTACTGGTTTAGATTAATAGTTTTTGGGTCGTGTATGAGTTACTATGATATTTTATGGTCAAAATCAAATATTTATTTAAGATTTTGCCGGACCACCCTGCATTTTGTGCTAACATAATTAACTGATGTTCCCGAAATAACTGTCGCTCTCAAAGGCGTCATTTTTAAAATTTGGAATTCGGTATTTGAACATATACTGATTATGAGACCAAGTGGGTCGCCGCCACAGTTTCACACACATTTTTTTCCACGAACCAATTAATAATCTCGGTTTGGGTTTTATGTAATAACTAAATTGGGAATTCATCAACTTGGACGGCGGATTCGTAATTATTATGATAATGTCCACTAAGCACTTAATATCAGAGGGGCCAGGAGCTCGTCTGCTTGTCTAAAACTGCTAAGTGCTTAAAAACCGTTTCTGTGAAGAGTTTCATATTCTGTTAACATGCGAGGGTTTAAAATTAGGCAAAAATTCTTACACAATTATCTTATGAAGTAAAATTTGAGTAAACTGAGAATCGCTGTAAAACTATATTGCAACAAGTAAAATATGAATGTTGTACAATATGTATGGCCTTCGACGGTGTGTTGTTATTAAATTTTTCGAACCTTGAATCTTTTTATTCTCCTTACCGAGATCTACCAAAATTTTAACAGCCAGCTTAACCAAGGACCACGATATTTTTGTCGATATTTATATACCACCGGATCGGAATCGCAGCCTCAGATGATCCGGCGAGAGACTTGTGGGTTTTCTATTGGAACCTGGAGGTTTTTTAAAGAAAATCTGAAAAATAAAAAAAAGATTCCGAATCTGTGTTATTTGTACTATAAGGTGAGGTCAGTAGTATTTTTGTACCAATTTTTAGAAGAATGGCTTGTTTCATATGTTCAACCACTCTATTTCGAACCTATTGGGATTTTTTTCTTGTCGAATCGATTGTTCTAACAGAACACTATTTACAGTTTTCGACTTGAAACACCCTTGGTGGGACACCCCATATAATCGACAATGTATTAAGCATTGTATTAAGCATAAAAATTATTGAATAAAAAGCCTATACTTTTTGTTTTACGAGTATGTTCAGTTTTGACAATTAATTTTACTCTGTAAATTTTTGTTTGCAATAAACCAAAATAAATATCGGTACCTACCTACCTTAAAACATCGGTACGATTTTATGTGCACAATTTTTTCGAAATTTTCAGTTCAATCAAATGGAAGGAAGATACGTGAACTTTAACGTGAAAAACACAATTATTTAATTACGTATGTATGTATGACCTTGCCATTTAACTATTCTTGATTATTTCGTAATCTCGATTAAAGTCTCGCCCACTGTGTGTGTACGTACACATGTTTCTTATTTTACAGAAATTATTTTGACAATCTAATGCTGTGTGTAAAATTGTGTGTGAACTAAATTGTTTAATAATAGTAAATAAAAGTAATAGTTTCATAAAATCATGAGTTATATAAGTAGGTTTTGACTAATATTGTACAGGCAGTGAGGGACTTCAGCCTAGCTAGGTATTTTGAGTTCAACCAATTTAGACGAATTTCACACAATGTTGTAGTTTTTTTTTATTGCCCTTGCAGGCAGACGAGCATACGGCCCACCTGATGGTGAATTGTTACCGTCGCCCAGGGACTTCAGTATTGCCAGGGGCAGAGCCAAGCCGCTGCCTAGCATATTGTTGTTGTGTCACACCCGCGATTACCCTCTTCGGTCAACCCATACCCTGGACCAGCAAGGTCAAGTACCTGGATCGATGACATTCCGCCCGCATATAAAATCAGTCCCCGACCGCGCCGCGCTTATTCTCGGCAGACTCTACCCCATGATCTGTAAGGGGAGTAAAATGTCCCTTCGGCACAAGGTGACACTTTACAAAACTTGCATAAGGCCCGTCATTACTTCCTCTGAATCCTGATCACGCAGGAGCCAGTCTACGTCGACGCCCTAGACACGTCCTTACGGATCCATCAGATCCAATAACCGTTGCACTAGACGCCTTTAGCTCTAACACTAGGAGCAGGCACAAGGACTCCGGTAACCGTACTCGTCGAACTCCACAAAGAGTTCGACGTGCAACCTAACCTAAACATCAGCCCACTGAGTTTCTCGCCGGATCTTCTTGGGTCGCGATTCCAATCCCGTAGTAGCTTCATTGGCGGAGCAGTTACTCTTGAGTTGTTAGGTCTCCTTAGGAGGCGCTCGGGTAGCTGTTAGCAAATCCCACCGCACCTAGCTGAGCCGTTGCTCGCCCACCTGTTCTGGTGAAAATGGGAAGGCCTACGGGCCACCAGTAATCCCTGAAACAAAAATATTTGTTTTGTCAAACTGATCAAGAGCTACTTCCAAGTTAATATCGGGCAAGATTTCAGAATTACAATAGTCCGAGGTGACTTGATCGTTAGTAGGTATTTTTTTTGTTTTAATCGAAACAAGACAACCATAGCTATCATCAGGCCTCATATCTCAATTTGGGTATTCAGTTTGTGATCTCAATAGGTTCCGGTACCTTACGTAACACTTAAAGGGTTGTGAGTTCGTCTGCCTATTCACTTTATATTATTCCTGTAACCTTCCGAGAGTGTTGGAAGTGCTGGAGTTGACGTGACGACTTTTCTGTATCAAAATCATTTGTACGGTAAAACTAAGTTTGCTTCTAACATGAAAGTTCTCAAGAGAGCAAATCGGTACTTCAGACTTGAAAAGAGTTAAGAAAACTTTAGAAAAGTAGAAGACTTTACGAAAAATGGCTTTGGAATGAGCTCGTCTTTACGGTGTTCCCCCAGCGCTATGATATGTCCTTCTTCAAACGAGGCTTGTGCAACGTCCATGAGCGACGCTAACCACTCACCATCAGGTTGGCCATATGCTCGTCTGCCTACAAGGGTAATAAAAAAACAAAGGTCTCGTGGCGGTTACTACTCCTATATCTAGATCGAAACTGTCAAAAATTTACCAGTTATTTAATTTGGTTCCATACAGAAAATGGCGATTCCGATTAACGGTTACCAGACCTCGTGGATTCTTTACATGCTTTGGGTTTACGGAGGAACATCAGGTTTCTATTTTTGTACTATGTGTTCCGTGCCGAGTGCCCTAAGGAAGTGCAGTCATCTAGTTTTTACCGCCACTGCAACTCCCGCCACCGGAGCAGAGTTCATTGATACCAACCACCTTGAAACATTACATTTTATTCATAGTGCGTTTCCAAAAATCTTACATATCGACGCTTGAAAGGCAATAGTGACTAAGCAACAAGTGCTTTGTACATAAATGATAGGCAATAATCATATTCGATGCGCAAAAAATATATATTTCTAGGTCTATTAAAATCATTTCAATCCTACAGCTGCTAGCTAGATTCTACTACAGTTGGATTCGTTAAAATAAATTTTGTTTTCAGGTATTTCAACTTTAAATTAGTCTACTGTAAAGTTCACGCATTGTCGCTTAGTCACTTTGCCTTTCAAGCGTCGATATGTACAATCTATATCTTGGATTTTTTTTATTAATTTTTTATTGCTTATATGGTTAGACGAGCTCACAGCCCACCTGGTGTTAAGTGGCTACTGGAGCCCATAAACATCTACAACGTAAATGCGCCACCCACCTTGAGATATAAGTTCAAAGGTCTCAATTATAGTTACAACTAATGTACCTAGTAGTAGGTAGTAGTAGTAACTAACTAATGAATTTGAATGCTGTGATATGTCCTTAAAATAATTGGTGAGGAGACTACTCAGCGGTAGGCAGTAGTTTGACTGTACCTCTTTCATTGTTAACGTTCGTGTCACACGAGCCATACCTTCGTGTGCCTATAGAGGAAATAAAAAGACTTTGACATTTGGTTTAATCGTTTGCGGCGACCACACGTTTTAAGGCTCCTGTAACAGGTCAATTCTCCCTTTTTTCCCTACCTATTCTATGATGGCCTATAGGGCTATTAGTGTGATTACGGGTTCAACCTGAGAGAATTTGATGACCATAGCCCTAGCAAGAGCAGTGCTTCGCAGAATATACCATCGCACAACTCTCCCGTAATTCAATCCTGACTTTGCCTTATAGTTTATAAGTACTATAAAATAATACATACACAGTACAAAGATCATCCATGATGAGACGAAATGAGTTTTTGTGATTATCGGTGTAATGTTAATAAAACGTTAGTATCATAGAGAGGATGAAATCAGATGACATAGGAGCATTAGGTAAATAAATATATTTACAAGAACTTGTGTATGGAATCATTGGCACTGGATTTTCTGTAATAACTACAAACTGTAACTAAAGGAAGGATTCTTGAATACTTTGGCCACATTTCAAGGAAAGACAGTGACAGCTTGGAGGAATTGGTGGTCACTGAAAAGGTCGAGGGCAAGCGACCAAGAGGCAGGAGCTCGACCCGTTAGACGGACCAGATTCGTGCAGCCCTTGATACCACAGTGCACGATGCTCTGCACTCAGCTGCAGATAGGAACAGATGGCGGTGCATTATAAAAAATAAACTGTTTCAAGCCCATGACCACAACCCTCAGTAATGAGGAAACCACCGCAAGGAGGAGGTAACTAAAAACTTAATGTTCATACAACATTGATAACGTACAAAACATTTATGTGTATTATCTATGGTACAAAAACTGACAGTCGAAAGGAACAATTAAATGACCGTACAAAAAAAAAACATGAGTGACCGTACATCAAAAACGTGTCATCGTCGTCCGGAATCGCTTGTTGTGTTAAACAAACTGCTCCAAGATGTCCTATATACTGATGTAGGCAATTTCGGCTGTCACGTTGTAGAGAGAGCGACGTTTGAAGACCGCCGCTGCGCTCCGGGGTGCCACAGATCCGCAGAATTCTACCTACCCACCCTGTTTTTTGTTTCTGTCCGAATCCATCGGACGGTCGATGTTACAGTTTCTAGATTTTATCCTTTTTGTCACACTGAATATGAAAATCATGTGATCTATTCGAGTTTTGCGGTTTGTTTGAAGACATTAAGCGCGTGTTAATTTGCTATTTACTCTTAAATTGTATATGAAGCATTACTGTATTCTCTGAATAAGATCAGCTGCATAATAAGGGGAGCTTTGCATTTGCTTGTGAATTTTAACAGCGAAAAATCTTGACACCACTGGTTATCTAGAACTGCGCCTTGCGGCGATCGCGAACCGCTCATACCGTCCCTCGGACGATTTTTTTATAAACACGTTGAAACTTCAAAAAATAAATTAGATAATTCTATTTTAATACCTACTAATATTTAGTTTTTGCTGTAAAGCTTTGTACACATGACAGTAACGTTGCGTTGACAGGGGAGCATCGCATGTGAACCTGTGCACTATTGTAAAGACAGGTAAAAGGTACGCAAGTGATCTGGTTACATTTACAATAAAGTTGGATCATTCACTCCTTTAAACTTATAAAATTGTTGAAACTGAGCGGAATTCCGATCAGATAACAACAGCGTCCGTCTTCGTACAATGACGACATAAAAATAATTCGCAACCTGTGTAACGTTTCTACTTTTTATCTAAGCTTAGTCACAATAGCGAAGGTGTGTATCGAATTACTTAATCATTCTATAAGCGATCGATTGGTATTCTTGTATTTTACGATTATACAATTACACGATCTTATGAAATATTGTTTATATAGAAACTGAGCTCCGCCTAGGTATGTGTAAAGAGGTCATCCATAAATTAAGTCACATGTTAAAAGGGGGTTTCAACGGATTATCAAAGTTTGTGAAATTTTGTGATTCGAGCCCTACACTCCAGAAGAGAATAATAGGAAAGAAAGAAGAAGACGAAAAAATGAAAATATCTTTTTTCCCTTGGTTATTCTTAAATATATGCATAAAATTGAAATGTCTGTGATGTATGTGATATATGTGTGATAAGGGGCAAGGGGTTCTAAAAATTTGACAACCTGTGACAAGGACGGGAGGAGGATTTAAAAAGTCCTAAAATTCGTGTGACCAAATTTATGGATGACGACTAACCAGAGTCGGACCCTTAACATGAATCACTATTAAGGATAAGGATTGCTTTGTACTAGTAGGTAAAACTTTCTTTTTTTTTTTGCCCTACCTATGCTGATAGCCTTGAGAGGCTATTTCAGCTTCACCCTAACGTGTGTAGGTGAGCTCAAGGGGCTCAACCGGAGAGTTGCTAACACTGACCCTAGCAAGAGCAGTGCTTCGAAGAGAAGAAGGTATATTCAGCGAAGCACTGCTCTTGCTAGGGTAGATGATAGCAAATTCTCTCAGGCCGAGCTTCATGGCTCGCCAATGAACGAAGGTGAAGCCACAATTGCCCTTCGGAGCTACTGGTCTATAGGTAGGCAAAAAAATATTATTCGACCGCTTAAGCCGTACTTAAGTTATTCGAAATATCAAATATAAAATACTAATAATATAAACGCGAAACTATACAGTAAAAGCTAGTTTTGATTATTTATACTGGTGGTAGGACTTCTTGTGAGTCCGCACAGGTAGGTACCACTGCCCTGCCTATTTCTGCCGTGAAGCAGTAACACCAGGTGAGCTGTGAGCTCATCTACCCACCTAAGCAATAAAATAAAAAAAATAGGTAAGTGTAACAATAATGTTACTAAAAATCATCATGTTCGTTCAACATCATGTCCACGAAACTATAATATTGTCTTGTATTCATCGTCTCATCGTCTGAAACATAAAATGAAAGAATAACATGAATGAGTCGTGCCTAAGCCAGACGTTGAGTTATTCTGTAGTTTCCAATTAAAAACCGGAGTTATATAGATTGTTTCAATATTGGCCTTTTTGGTGCCTAAATTTTACTCAAGACGTCGTTATGTTTCAAATATTCAATAAGTTAAAACTAGCAAAAAATATTTACGCACGATTTACTTTACTCACGAATCGAGCGGGTAGCGTGGGTGCCATGCAGGCTGCGTCACAAAGCATGCAATCTGACACCACAGTCGGGATTTAGTCAAAAAGCACCGGACCCATTCACTGGGGCGCTTGGCCAAAAGACAGGAAGTGAAGGACAACGTGCGATAGAACCAATTACCCGCCCACGACATACGAAACCCTTAATTACGTGTAAAATATCTGAATCTTTCTGCGGATGTGGCAGTGCAAGAAATTTATAATAATTGATTTTTATTAGGGTTCCTTAGACAAACGGTAGAAAACGGAACATTTCGTCCAGTTTACTTCTTCATCTCTGTCTGCTCGTCTATCACTAGGAAACTCGAAAGTAGATGCTATGTAAGCTTTAATGTAGCTATAATGCTGTGTCAAACTACAAAAAAGAATCTATATATTAATACGTGAAGCAAAAACTTTGTATCCCTTTTTACGAAAATTGCGCGGACGGAGGAGTATGAAATTTTCCACACTTATAGAGAATATAGAGATTACACACATTACATACCATGTATTTGACGCACACACGCATGCATACTATTTATTGTCAAATTTTTGTTCTTGACGTCTGTGATCAAATTGAGAATAGATTAAATATTGTTTATCTTTGATAATATTTTTTATAGTGTAGTCTTGGCGAAATTTGTGATTATAGAAGTATAAAATACAATCATAATAGTGTACAAACTTACAATTCCAATTAATTATAGTCGAATTTCGACTACTGCGGGACCTCTAGTACTGTTAAATTCATTTAAAATTACGGAAATGAACATGATATTATTATAAAAAGCGAGTATTCAATCAAATGTCCCTCTACAAACTAGGTTTAAAAAAATCGCGGCGCAATTGTGCTTTCTTTTTTTTCCTACCTAAGCTGATGGTTTAGAGAGACCATGTCAGCGTCGCCGGGCTAGTAGGTGAGCTCACGGGGCTCAAACCTGACGATGTTGCTAACACGAACCCTTGCAAGAGCCGTGTTTCGCAGAATCTAGCGCCGGATCGGAAACGCGACCCACTGAAAAGACCCGGCGAGAAACTCAGTACAGTCTGTGGGTTAATTTACTCGCCGAGCCCGTCAATTGTGTCTCTGATATTGTTTATATCCATCAGCATCGGTGACAACCAACCATCCGGTGAGTCTATGTGCAGTGTGATTACTAAAGGAATAAAAACATTTTGATTCATAAATAACGTTTACTTTATTTTTGTACAATTGCAGATTCCATCACAGATTGTAGCTACGGTACCCATACAAATGCAAAAATGTACTGCTTTTCTCATACGTGAGTAGTCTAAGTAGGTAGGTAAGGTTAGAATATTTACGTAGGTATAAACGTCATGCGTTTTTGGACCATCGTACCATTACTGTCGATCTTCCACCGGTCGAATGTTTTTTTTTGCTCGGCAGACCGACAGTCTCTTGTTGTTCTGACGGGTTTGTTGACAACATTAAAAAATGCAACAATTTATTTAAAAAACGGCGTTTCGCGTATTAGGCGTTTGTTAATATCTATTCTATGAAAGCTGCTGCTGCAAAGTCATTAATTTTATAATTTATTTATGAAATTCATGTTGTAGGTATTTCTATTTTATTTTTACTTTTACTATTTATTTTACTTATTACTAATTTTATCTCTGCCTAAAATAATTTTCAGTCAAAATGACGACATATGAGTTTGGTTTCCTTGTTGGCAAATATTCATGTTGCAAATAGGTCCTGCTTGCTCCTTCACTGGGTGGTCATTATTTTTGTATTTAAACGCATATAAACTTGTTTATTAATCTGGCTCCCAGGAAATCCTAGTCTGGAGTCAGATAACTGTGTATCACCTAGATCCTAGTCGTTTGTAGCTATTGTTTATATTTGTTGAACATACATATATTAAAGTACTATAAAACTGAGATTTAGAAAATAGAATATCTCAATTCTGCATTTACGTTGTTGATGCCGATTTGCTTCGGTAGCCGCTTAACACCAGGTAGACTGTGTACTTGTCCATCCATTTAAACACCATAAAAAATATTCAATTAAATAGTGGTATCGACAGCATTGACAATCTTATAATAGTATGAATGAAAGGAACATTTCCTACGTTTTGGAGGACAAAAACCGTAACTTGAAAGGCAGCTATTTCTTCCCGGTTGAAGAAGCATTCGCACGTCCAACAAAAACACAGTAGTCATTAAGATTTATGGCGCACGGAGAGCGATCATAACGCATTAGTAGCCGACTTTGTCCTCTGCATGTGGGCTTTGTTGTGAAAGAAACTTGCAACAGTAGCCAGCGAACTCACTATTGTCGGTTACCGAACTTGTACAGTATTGTTCTATGGAGTCGTAAACATGTCGACAGGTTCGAACATTCTTAGTTAGAATGATTATGACAAAATGGACGTGCTTTCAAAAGACGCATTAGCTTCTTGGGTCTTCTAAAAAATAGATACTTTTACAGGATCCTCATAAAACTACTTCAGGATCTCACTGTCACGAAAGTAATTCTATGTTTTTTTTTATTGCTTAGATGGGTGGACTAGCTCACAGCCTACCTGGTGTTAAGTGGTTAATGAAGCCCATATACATCTAAAACGCAAATGCGCCACCCAGCTTGAGATATAAGTTCTTAGGTCTCAAGTATAATTACAACGGCTGCGCCACCTTTCAAATCGAAACGCATTACTGCTTCACGGCAGAAATAGGCAGGGTGATGGTACCTACCCGCGCGCACTCACAACAGGTCCTACCACCAGAACAATAATAAGTGCTTTTCCCGTATTGAATAATACATTTGCGGGAATGCAATCTTGCTACCTCATAGCTTTAGTCATTAGTGACTTCGACTAACATCTTCCGAAGTCCGATTTTGATTCGAAAGTTTCAGAACATTACTTGTAAAACCACAGTATATTACAAGCGACCCGCCCTAACTTCGCAAGATATTTTACTGAAACCACTTTACAGTAATTATATTTGTATTTATTAATTACAATGTTTATTATTAAATTTGCTATAAACATTCAATATTGATAATTGAATTTCTAGGTCCTGCATTAAAAATGCGAACTTTAACTTTCAACCCCTAATTCACTGTTTCAGGAATAAATTTTGGAAAAAACCCATTTTATATTTATTTCTAACGCGAAGTATGTATGTAAAATGTCGTGCTTTTGCTTAGCTTTGAAAATTACGATTTCCTCTGACGTACGCTATTACATCTGAATTTTTCAAAGATCCTTACACACTCCTACAACATTTCAATTTCAATTTTGGAACTCCAGCGACTTAAGTTTTCAGACTTAAGTTTGGTGTTCAAGAAAGAATCAATCATTCATGACAATTAAATATATGCATACGTACAGATATACTTAAATGTAGGTATATTAAATTAGTAATGATATAAATATACCTAACCATCCCAACCAAAACGATCAAAGAGCCGCTATAATGAACTAATAATGAACTAAACTAAAAAATGAAGTATAAAAAAAATGTAGCTTAGAAAGAAAAGGAAATGTAGTTATCTCTAAGAGAGCGCGGTGTTTAGTGAAACAAAAGCACAGGGAACGATTTAACAAACTGCCATATTTTAACAACGTGTAATTAAAGGTTTGGCTCCACTCGAATATGCATAAATCATGAGTCTGCCGCGAACTGCCGACCGAAATAGAGAAAAAATTAAATACATTGAGCGGCTGAGAGTTCAAAAAAGAGGATATCATCTCTCAGCCAGCACAGGGAAACGCGCCCGAGACTTCAGGAAAAAAGTCCACGATGACTGTGGGAACTTCTACTGCCTAATGTGAGATTAATCAGTGCTTCAATATTTTTTTTTAGCGGAATATAGATTTATGAAATTTATTGTATATTACGTAACGTCTTTGCTTTTAAGTTAATTTGAAAATAACTAATTATTATTTAGGAGTTTCTTCAATTTACCTATGGAATAATTTAATTTCAGAATTATCGTCTGTATAGGTAATGTTTCCTTAGAGCTATTTATTTACAGGAACGTTATATTGTATTGGTGTGTTTAAAATAATCATGTGACGTCTAACTGATCCTTTATCATGGTAGTACCGATACTATCGATTTAATTAAGAGCCCGAGGCTGGTAATGTAAACATGACCTTTGAATGTGGCCGTCTCGCTCTCGTGGGTTTCCCGCTTCGAGAGCAGCTTTGTTAGGTCCATATATCACAGATGTGGGGTGGGGTCCGTCGAAGCCGTCGGAGGCTGCACCGCGGGACGGGGTGCGCTCGCGCAGACGGGCGGGGGGAAGCGACAACCGCTCGTTACGTCTATTCCAAGCCAGTTATTAAAAACGTCTCGGCGTGAACGGTGCGCCGCCCTGTAATTATCTAGTTGAGTTTTCGTCGCGCTAAGTTGTCATCGTGTTTACCGGAAATGCAATACGTGGAAACGCCCGCACAACAGGTCCGTGCGCCGCCCGCGATAATTCTATTAGAGATTTTCTTTTGCATCGTAATTCATTACCGATTGAGTTGCATTTTGATTTGTTTCAATTGATCGTTTGACCAGTTAAATTAAATACAAATTGCAGTTGAAATACAATGTTACATTAATATTCGTTCTATTTATAGATGATGAATATGGTGCCTGCGTATGGATGTGGATACGGACGAAACGACGCACTGTCTCCGGCTTCGGATCTGTCATCGTGCAGCAGTGCTTCGTCAGGAGCGTGGTGCGGTCCGGCTCCGTGGCGAGATTTGACCCCATACCCGCCGCAGTACCCGGCGTACTGGCCACCGGCGGCGGCTGCCGTCGCTGCTGAAGAAGCCCGGGAGCTCCAACGCCGCTGTGCGAAGTGTCGATGCCCCAACTGTCTTACCGAAGCGGCTGGATTCGGGCCTAACTATGGAAAAGACGGAGCGAAACGAGAACACGTGTGTCACGTTCCCGGCTGTGGAAAAGTGTACGGCAAAACTTCTCACCTGAAAGCGCACCTCCGTTGGCATACCGGAGAGCGTCCTTTTGTTTGCAACTGGCTCTTCTGCGGCAAAAGGTTTACACGTTCGGATGAGTTGCAGCGACATCTCCGCACGCATACCGGTGAAAAGAGATTCTCGTGTCAGCTTTGTACGAAACGGTTCATGCGGTCGGATCATCTCGCCAAGCATGTTAAAACACACGCGAATACATCTAGGAAGTGCAAGAAAACGAAAGACGACGACAAAGAGGAATCCTCCGCGGAAAAGATAGACAGTTCTCACGTATCTGAAGCGTCGATAATCGATACCGTTGGAAGCACCAATTACGGTACAGCACCTATGGGCGCTCCCGCGAAAACGACAGTGCCAATAAATCCTGTTGCATGTGCGCCATTTGCTCCGAGCTCTTCAAACGTTTACAACAGCTCTCCGATGTATAACGGCAGCGGTATGATGGGAGGCTGGTATCCAGAAGTTAGACAGGAGGCTATGTACCCACGAGCCCCTGCTAGAGTTTACCAACAGTACCCCGCCCCTATTGGCAGTTATCAGTGCGGGTCAAAAGACAACTACGCGGTTTTCCAAGGACATTACAATTTACAACCGTCGCTTGCACTGGGACAGTAAATCTTAATAATAAAATCAATGCGATGTGACGCGTTACTGTAGATAATGAAACTGCTACTTATGTTTTATTCGTAAGTTACCATAACATTCGAAATGTGATTTCAACGTAGCATTGTGCCTTTTTGTATTTAAATGTGATTATTATTATGTTTATATGTAATTATTATTATGCAATAAATACTTCGAATTATCGATCACATGTTTGTTTTTTTTATAAATCAAATGAGTCGACTATTATCAAAGCCGGCAATCTGACTTTTGGACAATGATTGGTAAATCAGAAAAACGAATTATTGACTTTGTATTCCATTGGCAGTCACAAAACTCTTCGGAACGACATCTTAGATAAATAACAGGTTAACTATTAACCTTTATTTAATGCAGGTTTTGAACCGTATTCTTTGAAGGAGACGATTATATTCAAATCAATCTGTATTGACATATCAATAAAAAAAAATTGTCCAAATGCACAGATTGCCACCTTTGATAATAGACGACTCAAATGATAATCGTTTGGGTTTTACTATCTAAACTCACATAAAACTAATATTATAAAGTTATAACTTTTTTTCTTATTAAAAAATCCCTGTCATTATAATATATTGTTCAAATTCAATCCGTCTCCTCATAGACATCGTTTAATAAGTAGTGCGAAACGCTCTAAACGAATATTATTCGAAGTAATAAATATTATTAAATATATATTAAATAGATTGGATAGATTGTGTGAAAAACGATATGGGTAAGAGGGGAGTAAGCGAAGAAATGGTATATGATAGAAGAGTATGGAAGGAGAAAACATGTTGCGCCGACCCCAGGTGACTGGGAGAAGGGCAGCATAATGATGAATGATATATTAGATAACTAGTAAAGTTTTCAAACCGTCACAAATAATAATAACATCATCAACATTAAGATCATCAGCTCACAGAATATGTCCACTGCTGGACGGCCCCTTCCCTCCCCAAGATTCCCCAAATGACCACAATGACGAGCGGATTCCGGCTTATGTAAATTTAAAAATGTATCACGTAAATGCGAGATTAAGTAAACGTGTTTTAGTCACCTTTACCTAATAGATATAATATAATGTTAATATTCTCATAACATTATATTATACGAAATTTTATGAGAAGTGAACTTTGACACTAATTTATGAAGTTCCTGGTTTATGAATTTATCGACAGACGGTGCTCACACGACTTCATAATATAATCTCTAATTAACATATTGAAAAGATAAAAATATGCATCGATGATAATAAAAATTCAGAGAAATCTCAAGCTACATTTTTTAAATTACATTTTACGTTGATACTAATTGACTTTTGCCAAAATTATGACTACAAGTTTTTTGTGGTTCTGAATTTATAAGGAGATAATGATTTCATAACATTTCTATCCGAAACACTAGATATTATAGAATTGAAACAAAGGTGTGCATATTGAAGATGAAAAGATGTGGTGTCTTAGTTTAATTAAATATACCACTGATACCAAGCAATTTGCAATTACTAATCTTTATTTTATTCGTTTGTTTTTTTTTCACACTCAAAATAGCTGATTTCTGCAAATCTAAGCTTATGAATTGGTAATTGTAAGTGGAAATTAAATATATTGGATGAGAGAAGCCGGGGATCATGCTCAGTGGCGAACAATTGGAGAGGCTTATGTCCAACAGTGGAATGCTATAAGCTGATGATGATGAATATAGTAAATAAAAATCCGTATGTAGGGACAACCCTGTCATCAGTCAATCGGTAACAGGGAAAAGAAGTAATATCTTTCCACATGAAGTATGTTAGTATAGTGCATGAAATAATTTTTGGAGTTCATATTTAGAACGCGTTGGTTTGTTTCGAAATCTTTCAGTCGTGTGGCTTTTTGTCACGAGATGTCGCTAGGGAGAGTGCGAGCACAGAGGACGACGTCGCGCGCGGCGAAGCGGTAATTGCACGCCGCTATTATCTGGGCGGCGCTTTACGTTCATGGCCGCCGGTGTGAGCGGGATGCACTCGATAATACGTAAAACAAAACGAGGGAGTTATAATGGTAAAAAACGAGCAACACGCAAATTATAGTGAGAAATGAGGCAGCCGGTAGCGGTGGGGGCTCGCGTGGTGCGGTGGGGACGGAGCGCGGCAGTCGCCGTCGCTCGGCGCACGCAGACCGCCCGCGCCGCCTGCGCTCGCGTGTGAAGTGCCAGGGATATGCCCCACCAGCGCCGGCGCCATGAGCGGCAAGCCCAACTCCGAGCCGGATCTGCTCATGAATGTGAGTCCAGCTCTACGACTGCTCACGCTTCAATCCTCGTCTTCAACTAACTTTTGCTCTAAGTCTAAGCTGTACGCTATCAGTAGGCTGTCTGTTTGTTATTGTCATTTTAACTTTACTGAAGAAACAAACTTCTTATTAGACATGTGAGGACAAAAGCTCAGCGTGAAGTAGGTTCAAACAAGAGTTTATGTTTAACCTCATTTATACAGTACCATAAATGCTATGTTCAAGGAACGAATTCGAATTTGTCTAAAAGCAGTATCATAATTCATACAATTCTCCATGGGCTGGGATGTTTAACTTTTAGAACAAACCTCGGTTCAAATAAGAACCATGAAATGGTTTGTTGGGCGTCGGAGCACCCCCGGGTATTGTCGATTTAGTACGCACCATAAGCAGTGCATTACCAACGATTGACTTTCTGAGCCAGTCCCTTGGGCCCCTAACCCCTATTACTATTCATGGCGACCGCCCCCGCAGGGTCCAGTGGACCCGCGCTCATCGTTTTCCTAACCATCTCCGGCCTCAAGTACTGGCGTTATATGATAAATTCCTTCACATATCCTGACTTTTGAATAATAATCTGAAGTGAACTTTCTGACCTAAAATCTATTCGAATTTACGTTTTAGTGTTTTTCATAAAATTTATATTACGACATGGCAACTCGATCACCAAATTTCATGGTCCATATATTAATTATATAGGATAATTAATGGGGTAAAGTCGTACCTGTATTTCAACTGACCATAGACAAAAAGAAGCGGTAGAAAGGGTCGGTTATTTAGTGGCTATAACAGTCAAATAATCGTAAGTGTTATTATCTGTAAACGGCCTGTTTAACTTAGCTACGAACGTTACTAACACTCAATAAAAACTACCGAAATGTCAATTCAATTAATGAAGTCAAATAAATAAAGGTTTCTCTAGCACAAGGAGCGGCGTAACTAATCCTTAATGACACATAGAGGCTTCGTCCATTTTCTACCCAATTTCCTTTTCATATTAGTTTAATCTAAAAGCAGGACAACTGGCGCCAAAAATTATGCCGCGACGAGCGTGTCGGGCGGCCTAATCTGTTTAGCGTTATATTGTGGGGCGAACGGATCCTTTGTGCGGTGAAAAAGGAAGAAATTTATGCGTTTCGGCGTCGTGTGTGAGTTTTTTGTGAGAATGTAATTAATAATTCGGCGGCAAAACTAACAGTGTTTTGGTTGTTGCGCCTCGGTCAGTTGATTGATGTTTCGCGGGACCGTCGCAATTAGCCGCAGCCGAAGCAAGTTGTGCTCTATATTTTAATGTTTTTTTTTTCTTCTGTGTACCTACCAAAGGATCATTACGGTGATGTAATATTTTAACGTCTACAGTTTCAATTCTCGTATAGATTATTTAATTACTAAACTGCGTTAAGGTTGTCGTAAGCTTTCGAAGTAGGGTATTGGAATCTGTTAGTCATGTAGTCGTCGTGGCCTAAAGGATAAGACGTCCGGTGCATTCGTATCTAGCGATGCAACGGTGTTCGAATCCCGCAGGAGTCGGGGACGAATTTTTCTAATGAAATACGTACTTAACAAATATTCACGGTTAACTTCCACGGTGAAGGAATAACATCGTGTAATAAGAATCAAACCCGCAAAATTGTAATTACTGGTGGTAGGACCTCTTGTGAGTCCGCACGGGTAGGTACCGTCATCCTGCCTACCTCTGCCGTGGAGCAGTAATGCGTTTCGGTTTGAAGGGTAGGGCAGTCGGTGTAACTAAACTAAGACCTTAGAACTTATATCTCAAGGTGGGTGGCGCATTTACGTGGTAGATGTCTATGGGCTCCAGTAACCACTTAACACTAGGTGGGCCGTGAGCTCGTCCATCTATCTAAGCAATAAAAAAAAAGTCAATTCGGGATTTGTGATTAATTGATTGATTAATTACTCTAAAAGTACAGTGAGAATGTATGCAGTGTATCAGTTTTTTCTTGAATAGCGTAGTTGGATAGAATTGTCAACAGTCGACCTGGTGCTTACAGTTTACCAGAAAACATATCGTGTGATAATGTCGATACTGTCCTTTAATGCTAACTCATGACTGCTCCGCGGGAACATCGGCAATATTAACATCAGTAAGCTATTGTCTAAATTGATCCTGACAATTTACATAACTAATTCTTGCCGTTTGATTGGAGTGAACGGAATTCGTAAAATAATTAAGTATAACTTCAGAACACGAACACGCACTATTTAATACAAAAGTTTAACTTTAATGCACGTATACAATGTAAATGTGCCTTTTGAAAGAGTTTTGAAAACGTGTTTCAACGGAACTGGGGGGACCGGAGGCGCGTAGGCGCAAGCTTCACATCGAACCCACAAGTCACGACGCACAAGTGCCTACCACCGAGATGAAATGAAACACGATCTTACTTTACAATATGGCTACTTACTACACGATAATATAAATTTAATGTTAGATCAATGAATTTGTTGATAACAATTTATTATTTAAAATTTATTTATTGTAAAAAAAAGAACACAATATTCCTCACCCAAAAGTACATGTTATTATCCGCAACATGCTTCGTCACATTACAGAAATAAAGTTATCAGCAACATGCTTCGTCAATTAATTATAATCAATGTTTCATTATTAGTTCAATTGAAATATGTATAAAAGTATTTTCAAGTATTTTTCGTGAGTACTCAATATAATTAATACACTTTTACAGTTTAATCGCGTTTTGTTTATTGTCATTAGATATAATTATTTATCACTGAAACTTATATGCGAACCATACATTGTACAATATTATAATATTTCGTAATATTTCAAATTGATAAATTCACATACACGAATATACATAATATTCAATTAAAATGTGTAAAAATTAGTTCGACTTAATATAAGGTATATTTTTAA